TCTTAAGTGATTAAACAATTGAGTCGCATAACTAGTAATATAAGCTACGCCAGGATTCTTAAGAAAATTCTCTTGACTTTATTTCCCTGAATCATAAAATAGTTACGAAATATTGCTAACCAAATTCTAAATACGCGAAAGATCATACAACTATTCTCTAAATTCACAGGATATACGTGACTATGGTTGATCGCAGGATTGGTATTTGCCACTATGTGCAAGACACCTTTTATCTTCGATCGAACCTTTGCGTGGTGATGGTTACACTTGTATTATTGCTTTCTTCCTGTTTCAGACGCTGATGAACTGAACGAAGAAAGCCTTAAAGGAAAGATGATATCATAAAATGCTACTTCCTTTTTATCTATATTAGTGAAAAGATTTGACGGTACTTATCTTGAAAACATCTATTGAGGGAAAGGGAACCCGTGATCATCTTGAAAAATATTTTTAGGTTTTGAGGAATAATAATGATCAAACAATGTGACGTTTTCAGGAAATTTATTTTTTCTACAACATGTTATGCTTTTGTGACAAACTGTACACTGTGGTTTTTCATCACTATTATCTCTTTGCATGGCTCACAACGGTTTATGTTGAACTCCAAAGACTTCTCTTAAATCTCTGTATTCTGATCTTTCGATTATTGTGTAATACAGAAAATAATCAGATTATAGAAACGAATTAGACATGACAAAGAATGATATTCTATTGTTCGAAATGATTGTGATCATGTTTTCAGGAAGACAAAAACCGCGTGAAAATAAAATTTCTCGTGTTGATCGAAATACTAAGAGGGACATGGCAGCTGGTTATAGCTGGTGGTCAACGACTTCAGGCGTGCAATATGCCAGAAATTTCATTGACAAGCTAACTGTAATGTGCCAATAACTAGTAGGGAGGAGATAAAATTATGACCATAAGCCACTGAAGTACTGACATTGAATAACGGAGTCCACAATTGTAACTCTGTGAGAAGGATGTTTGAGGGAGTGAACCTGAACCGCAGATAGCGCATGCGACTTTCAAAAGAGAAGGTGTTGTTTTGTGAGACCAACTGCGTCGTATATTTTTAACTTCTCTTTAGAAACAAAACAGTTTTGCGGAAACGTAAACAAATGTTGAGCTCCGGTGAAAATACTGAGCTTAATGGAGAGAAAGAGAGAAGCCCACGTTCAGCCGAAAGCGAGGGAAATTGTTGTCCAAGCGTCAAAAGAAAACTCATCCCGGCCAAATTGTTTTATTTCTTCTATTTTTCTTCTTTGGGATCACTGCTGCCATATTTAGCTCTGTACTTCAAGCAATTGAAGCTTACACCAACTCAAGTCGGTATATTAATGGGCTTGAAACCTTTTGTGGAGTTTATTTGTACCCCGCTATGGGGAGCCGTTGTGGATCGATTTAAAATGGGGAAATTGGTTCTTCTGATGTCTTTGCTCGTTGCTGCTTTGTCTCAATTCTCGCTGTCCTTAGTAGCACCAGCTGAACGCCTCTGTACCTTAAACACGATATCGCGATCAATCAAGGGTCCAAACGATTCATCTTATATTGCCACAAAGCATGGGAACTCTTCTAGTTACTGGGGGAATTTTGTTTTTGTGTCTTCCATTTTGGATGACCTTCCTTGGCCTCTAACTTATACCAGTAAAGAGATGGAAACTCCACAGACACCCAACACTGCGGAACTATTTACAATACTACTTATCATCATTCTGTTCAGCAACATTATCTCGTCTCCGTCTCTTGCGCTCGCAGACACAGTAACGATGCAAACATTAAGGCCAGATGTGCACCTGTATGGACGGCAGCGCCTATGGGGATCGGTTGGATGGGGAATCGCCTCATTTTTAGTTGGTGTTTTGGTATCAGTGAGTCATCACTGTCCAAATCCCTTTACAAAGCCTTCTGATATCAGTTACATGCCTTGCTTTGGTACATTTGGAGTTTTAATGCTTCTTGCAGTCGCTACATCCACAAAATTTAAGTTTGCATATGACTCTGAGGATGAGAAGGTCGAGAATACAGGATTAATGAACAATTTAAAGCAAAGCGTCAATATCAAATACATTGTGTTCTTATTTACTGCATATTATTTTGGAATCCTTAACGCCTTCACGAAAACCTTTTTATTCTGGCACTTAAAAGATTTGGGGGGGACGCAGCTGCTATTTAGCATCATTGCAGCAGTAAACTGTTTCGCCGAAGTAAGTTTGTATCTTCTATCAGACAAAATCATTACTCGAATGGGACATACCCGTGTTATATACCTTGCAGCCGCAGGATTTACTTTTCGATGTTCTTGTTATTCGTTTTTATCAAACCCGTGGCTAATCCTTCCGTTAGAGTTTATGCCTGGAATAACAAATGCCTTAGCATGGGTAGCTATGCAGTCATATGTAAATGAAATATCGAGAAATGATAATGCCACAACTCATCAAGGTATTCTTTGTGGATTTTACAGAGGACTTGGCTATGGATGCGGTGAAGTTTTTGGAGGTGTGATGATCAACTTCGTAGGATCGGGAAATGCTTTTAAGGTCTTTGCAATAGGCGCAGCTTTTACGTTCTTAGCTAACGTTTTTGTGGAAGAATTATCTCAAGTCAAGCCAGTTTTAAAAATGCTGTTCAAGCGATTGATGAAAGTCAAAGAATAACATTTACAGTTTTTTAATAATTTAGCAGGTTCCACAAACGTAACAAAGAGAGGCAAAAAGGAGAAAGTACAACAGCAATAGCACACTTATTAAAGGGTAAGCTTGGGATATACATTCGATACTTCCCCCTGCTTCTATTAGGCAAAATACTGGCCTTTTCTTTTCATCTAGATTTGACGGAAAGTCTTAAGCGTAAGGGTAATATGTGGATTCAATGCTGAAATTTTCCTTACCTTTTGCATAAATAGGTAATATTTCAAACTACAGTCTTATCTTCTCCTCCCCCTTAGCGTATTCTTTCGTTTTCACGCGCGGAAAGCGTGATTTTATAATGTAGCCAATCATGTCCACAGACTTTGATATTGGCATTGAATTACATGGACACTTACTGGACACTTACTTTCGTGGACACTTACTGAGTTCAGTTTAACGAGCTTTTTTATCGCAAATTTGTCACTTTTTTCGGAAAGCGAGAACTTCCGAAGTCTTTACTTAAAGTTAAATGTTGTAGCTAATTTGATAAGTTAATTACAATGTTATTAACTGAGTTCTAGCATCCCATTCGAAAAAGGATATTTTACATTTAACTTAGCGAATAATCAAACTAAACCACAACTTGGTATGAAACGAAATTTTTCCGAAAAGCTTACACCGCTATGACAATTTCGCGGTACCCCCCTATTCAGCTAACTCTTACGTGCTGCCCCTTAACCTGTTCTCCTCGCTCTCATCGGTCAAGTTCTGTCTTTTTGTTGCACCCTTAGACTCATAACCTCACCATCCTGCCCGGGTTAATACGCCGAGAAACCAGATGCAAGAAAAGATATCTGGGAAAAACTTGTTTCATATTTGAAATGGATGTCAGTATCCACTCGTTTACTTGAGTGTATTCTTAATGTAACACTGAAATTGTATTGAGATTTATTTTAGGTACTAAATAAGTTGCTCCGAAAGTATCTAAGAGTTAGCTCCTCGTTCAAATGCATGAAAGCGGACTCTTTTCTTTATTATTATTCGACCTTTCCCAGGCTCTCACGGTCAAGTGCCTTAAATCATTATTTGACATCTTCATCAAAGCGAGAAGTTCCAAAAGTGATCGATCATGACAATAAACCATTTACTTTGAGTGCTGAAGGAGTGCTTTACTCTGAGAAATCAAATGATAAAAAAGTATTCTACTGGGTACTTAGGCAAAGTAGTCAGCTCTCTAATTTCAAGTTACGCAGTTTAAAGTGATAAATTTCACAATAACAGGTGCTGGTATTCTGTTCGGATTGAGTGCTTTCATTGCTAATTATGGCTGAATTGTGAAAACAAAAAAAAGCTGTAACTTGAGTTAACTTGAGTTAAAATTCAAAGAAGTTGATAAGCCAATGCAATACGTTTCATCAAAACGTATTGCAAGCATTAAAAATTCGCTGGTTTTAAGATCGTGACGAAAAGGAAAAGAGACCGCGACCACCTGTTGAAAACTCAGGTGGTCTTGGCCTTGTCGTAGATGCAATTAATAGCCGAGAGAAATCGAGAAACTAAAAGTTTGTGTTGAGGCGCAGAACTCATAAAGGAGCTAGAAATGCAAAAACCGCGTAAAAAAGAACACTTAAAAAGCGAGCCATGGTATCCAAAATCGGATCGAACCAACCTATTATATAAAGGACGCCAGGATCATAACAGTCAATTTACCACTGCAGCCAGTTTTATAAAGCTGACAGTTGGGTTGTAAACACTCAAATCTCCTATTTCTTACACCACAATCTAGTACAGTTTGTTAAAATTTTCCTCGTCGGGCACCACTTAAAGGTCTTTGACCTAAAGGTAAACACGATAGTCCGAGAAAATTCGCTTTCCAAGTTTAACTGTGGTTATTGTCGGAAATGACTTATCACGAAAAAAAATCTACGCAAGTCAATAATAATTCACCCCTGCACTCTTTAAAGGAAAAATGAACCCCTTGGTGGCAATAAAAATTATTTAGTGCTCGCGTCGGGTAATTTTAGATCTACTATGACCAAGAAAGATTAATAAAATCAAAGCAACCACTTCGAGTGACCATCCGTTATAAAAGGAAACACTGACATTTCCAAGTTCAGCGTTGATCTCTCACTATCGGTGTTCTCCTCACACATTCTTAAACATCATTATGGAATATATTGAATAACGTAAGGGAGTTTATCTTCAGGGTGCACAGGCTAATACGGTTTGAGCAACGATTGGTGTTGCTCAACAACACGGCACCTGCACTGCCTTGAACATCAAAAATTCAGATGTTGTCACTGGACGGCTATTAACTGACGAATTGACTCAACGAACACATGTTTGACAATGTTACGTGCGTAGACAGGAATTTAATTTTAGTCCTTCTGTGCGTGAAACCTTGATCCACATTTACGGATTCAAACACAGTATTTTTTATCATATGATTTAGGGAATAATACACTGATGCTAAGTACTTGGAGAAATGTCCAGTGAAGACAAGAAAGCGATTGCCACCAATGAACGCAACGAAGAAGACAAGCAATGTTGCCCGAATGTGAATCGGAAACTCTTAATTCCGAAAGCGTTTTACTTCTTTTTCTTTTCTGCCTGGGGATCACTTCTGCCGTACTTAGCTTTGTATTTTAAACAGCTGATGCTTTCACCGAGCGAAGTAGGAATCCTTATGGGCCTGAAGCCGTTTGTGAACTTTCTTGTTATTCCAATATGGGGCGCCATAGTGGACAAATGTCAAAAGAGTAAAGTGGTTATGGTTATTTCTATCATCGCCTTAATTACATCCACTTTCACTCTAAGTTTGGTTCCTGGACCAAAAAAGAACAAAGTAGTGGTTAAACGATTTTGTAACATGACTGCTCCAAGATATTCTAGCCTGATTGACATACACAGACCCGTTATTGATAGCCCAAACTTGGAGTTTCCCGAACCAGGAATTGACAAGATGGTGGATATAGGGAAAGGTCAAGAACACTATATGCCTTTCTTTTACAAAGGCCCCAAGCCTTGGTCTCTTGAACTTTTCATCAACTTAGACGAAAAGACCACTGTTAGGGTAGAATTGGATACAACACAGTGTTTTATGACATTATTTTTGATAACCTTTTTCGGTACTTTGATTTCTGCACCGACGTTGGCTTTGGTCGACACAGCCACACTACAACTTCTAGGCTCGGAAACCTACAAGTACGGCATGCAGAGACTCACGGGATCGATTGGTTGGGGTGTCGGTGCTTTCGTCGTCGGCGCCTCCCTTAAAACGACCCACCAATGTGGTAAAGATAAAGACTACGAGATCGTAGATTACGTTCCCTGTTTTTATACTTTCGCTGGTTTAATGTTTCTGGGCTTGATAACGGCCACGCAGTTTAAATTTGAGGAGAAATCGAAGAAGTCAAAGGGAGCAAGTCTTAGTGTTGGGCTGCAAGCTTTGAAAAGTCCAACATATCTCATGTTTCTCTTCACAGCGTTATATTTAGGCTTTTTGATGGCATTTATAAAAACATTCCTTTTCTGGCATCTCAAGGATCTGGGTGGAAGTCAGCTACTTTTTAGCATCATTTCCGCAGTTAACTGTTTCGCGGAAGTCAGTATGTATTTTCTTTCCGCCAAACTAATCAAACGAATTGGTCACGCGAAGGTTTTATACCTAGGACTAATCTGTTACTCAATTAGATTGTTCTATTATTCAGCCATTCCAATCCCGTGGATGGTCCTGGCTGTTGAGTTACTTCCTGGTATAACAACAGCAGCAGTCTGGGCTGCTTGCCTCTCCTACGTCAGCATCAACTCGGGACCTGGCGCTGCCACAACAATGCAGTGTATTTTGCATGGAGTGCACTGGGGCCTCGGTTACGGTGCGGGAGAGGTGATTGGAGGCATAATGGTGCATCATTACGGTGCGCCGACGACATTTATCATTTTCGGTGTTTTATGTCTAGTTATCTTAGGCGCATATATTTTAATTAACTACTTCTGCGGGTCCAGAGATGGAAAACAAGGCTGCAGTGCAGACTCTGAATACTCAGAAATAAGTGACGATGACAGTAAAAGATAGCTGTAGTGGAATAAAATGAACTCCAAAGAGAGCTTTTTGTGAACGTTTATAACTTTCCTGATAATCTGCATTTTTGGAATATTTCAGCAGCATGGCTTCTAGCCACATTGAAGAAGCTTGCGTAATTTACTGAGGGAAATGTCTGATTTGTACAACCAACGTCAGATTCCCTATCAATAAAACTGAACTCAAGAAGAGTTCTTGGCGCTAAGTTGGTATTGTAAATCATTGCACTCTGAAAACATCGAAAACTATGTGGTATTTAACTCCCTCCAAATCCATTTACATCCTTTTTATTGTTACTAAACATGTATCTTAGAAATGGGGAAAAAATTGTTTAAATATACGGGTAGGGAAAATTGATGTTTCAATAGGAAAAAGACATTTTATCAGACTAAATAACGCCAAACTTGAGTTTACAAGCAGCCTTAATAGTTTTTCTTCAAAGCTTGCAACGTCAATTCTACCCCAAAATAACACCGTGAAGCATTGAGCATTGAACTTGTTTTAACAGATATTTTTTACAGACAAATTTTCATATTTGGAAATATATCGCAAAATGTATTAGAGATGTAGGAAGTTATGAAGACAAACAATTACAACTCTGATTACTCAAAAGACAACCAATCAAATAAACGTTTTTATGATACAGCTCGACAAAAGAAGAAGTTGTGACCCCTCGGTCCCAGCTGAACTTGCACCCAAAGAGTCCAGTTCCCAAGATTCGTCGCATAATTTATTCCCGAACACCGTTTCGTCGCATGTTAGAGGAGACTTACAAGAGTTGCCCAAAAGAGAAACAAACCAGCTCAAAAATTTCAAAGATTTTATGCAGCATTTATTTCAAATTTCTTTCTAGTTCTGCTTAGATTAGCTGAGTAACTACTAAGATTACTACCAGCAAACATTTTTCATTCAGGCGTGACGGGTATGTAAGTAATTACAACAGCTTTTGTTATGTAACTAAAGCTTCGCTCAAATGCTTTTTCCGGATGACAAAAGGCCATGCTTGCTTCAAAAACCTGAAAAGTGATTTGACTGAGAAGAGATACCTCATCTGACCCTTTAACCTATGCATTGAATACACTAATTATTGAACGAAGATTTGTGTGTTTACTCAAAAACACAGGCCTCTCGAAAAGAGGTATTTGTTTCCCTCAAACCCGCAGTAACCAGTGATCCACCTGCAAACAATCATCATTCATCTAATGCACACTTGAACTTGCACGTGCATTCGATAATTTATTCATCACGTTTGGCGACAAAAAGTTCAAAATCCTTGTTCAAAGCTTCTCTACATTACCGAATAGACTATATTAGAGTACAGTACACGGTATAAAGACAGTTATGACAGAAAATGCTCCGGATGAAACTCAAAAAGGTCATCATGACATTGAAGAAAGCGAGAAAAAGAAGGAAGGCTGTTGCGCTGTCAATAAGGTTTACTTGGTTTCCAAAGGATTCTATTTCTTCTTCTTCTCTGCCCAGGGATCATTGTTACCCTATTTGGCCTTATTCTTTAAACAACTCGAGCTGCCTGCACGTCAAATCGGAGCAATTACAGGGATTAAACCTTACATCGCTTTCTTCTTCATTCCGTTTTGGGGATGCGTCGCTGATAGATTCAAGATAGGAAAGATAATGTTTGTTATCTCTATGATCGCTCTCATAGCAGGCATGGTCGCTTATGCTCTTGTTCCCATCAATATCTGTGAATCAGAGCCAACAGAAGCTCACAGTAAGCGAGCCCTCTCACAGGAGTCCAACAGAGCGACCTACTCATATAAACTTCACAGACGTTCCACCTGGTATGCATCATCACAATCCCCAGTTACCAAATCAACAACCAACATAGATACACAGTCAAGAGTCGTTGATATAGTGGAACCAAAAAAATCAAGATCAAAACGAGCGGCTCTTTTCCTACGGAGGCACTCCCACATACCTAATCTGATACAAAAAGTATCCCCGATAGGGTTAAACGAACAAATGGTAAAATTTAATCAGCTAACTGGCAGAGCAGCGCGACGAAAACGGAACAATTTTACGACCTCCTTAGACAGCGTTTCAGAAATGGCTGACGAGTCCCTCGAGGAAACGCCTTGGTCTCAGTCAGATATGATAGCCTTGCAAGACCAGAAATCCAAGAAAACTCTATCCAGAAAAAATAAATTTATTTTCCTCTATCTGTTATTAGCAACAATTTTCACCACCCTATTGTCGTGTCCTAGTCTAACACTCGCGGACACAGCAACTGTGAACCTATTGAAACAGAATGGCGACACGCACAAGTATGGTAAGCAGCGAATGTGGGGTTCCGTTGGTTATGGATCCATGGCATTTCTAATTGGTGCTGCGGTCAGCAAAACCCACCTGTGTCCTCCTGGCAGCGCAAGAAGAAAGGATGTCAACTACTATCCATGTTTTGCCATGTATGTGGTGTTTAACATCATTGCTCTAGTGGTAGGATCGAGATTCGAATTTGGTAAGAATGGTAAACCAAATAACAAAGAAACTGTTGGGGATCCGAAAACAACAGAAGATAATGCACGTCAAAGCAAAGAGACGACTGGAAGCGGTAACCGAGGCATAATAGCGGGACTCATGCTATTGACACGACCAAGACATGCAATGTTTTTAGTTACCGCGTTCTATGTCGGCATTACCATGGGTTTCATCCGGGTATTTCTATTTTGGCACCTGAAAGACCTGGGTGGCACTCAGATTCTCTTCAGTATCATGACGGCAATCAACTGCGTTGCTGAAGTGACACTTTATTTTCTTTCTACGAAGTTAATTTCCTTTCTTGGCACTCTAAGGGTGCTCTACCTGGGGTTGACATGCTATGCCATACGTTTGTTCTACTACGCATTTGTTACCAATCCTTGGACTGTCCTCCCAGTTGAACTGCTGTCTGGCATTACCACCGCGGCTGTTTGGGCTGCCATGATGTCTTACGTGGGCACTCACTCTGTAGAAGGTGCCTCTGTGACTTTACAAGGTAAGTATCGTTAAGTTATAGAAGAGCTGCTCCATTTATCAAATTATTATTTTTAAATTTTCCTGTCACGGTGCAATTCAGTTCATTCGTTTCCTTGTGTATCCTTGCTAGGTATTTTGCATGGTGTCCATTGGGGTCTCGGTCATGGATCAGGAGAACTCATCGGCGGACTGCTCATAAGCAGCTTTGGTGCTCCCACTGCATTTTCCATATTTGGATCGCTGTGCCTAATTTTAATGGGCGTTTATATTTTAGTTAACCGTCTGACAAATAACTTAGAATGAATTGTACTTCACTGAAACAGCATCCTCAAATGAACCGGACATATTCGAAAACTATTAACAAATTCTCACCAAATGAGATTACCATGATGTAAGCCACTTTAAACATTGCACAACATTTTCAGGCTTGATAGACAACAAATTGGCATCAAATTTGATAAATTCCAGTTGTATAAAGGGCGTATAACGCTATGTAACGGATAAATCGCTATCCAGCGGATAAGTGATAGCTAAACGTATAGCGTTATCCACCTGGTAGAGTTTTATCCAGTAGATAGTGTTATCCAATCTTAGAACAACCGGGGTCTGGTTGTTAATTCGTTTCTTTAAAAGGGGCTTGTTGCAGTTAATCAAGGCTTTGGTTTATTTGATACTGAGAGGCATCATCGAATATTCTTAGAGCGAAAATGTACTTCCGTATATTCTTATTTCCAAAAAAAACTCACTGAGGAAAGTTAGTCCTTTTACGACCTTGAACGAACTTTGTCTGCGGCATTTTGTTTAGGATTCATCTCTGCTATTCTCTGCCTGTCCTGAAGCCAGTTCATATCACTTGCTTTGTGGTCTTTTTCAACCACCTAACCAGTCTCTATGGCTGGTCTGACAAAAATAAAGCGTGGGAAGGCAAACACGCAGAATTATGAAACGGAAACACTTATCTCTCCCGATTGCAAAACAAAACGGTGTCGTAGAAGTGTTGTAAAACCCTAGGGATAGGCACATTCTGAGTAAATAGCACGTTAAGTCGAAAAACTTTCTAATTAAGTCATAGATGATTATGAAGTTAGTTTCCTTGCCTTACAAAGCCATACAGGGGTAGTCATAAACGTATTCTGGCTGCACAGGATGTAAAGTTATGTCACAACATTTCATTGGGCCAAAAATGATCACGGCATTGTAGTTTCGTCTTTACAAAAGTTTTCTTAATTTGAAATTATTTAAAGATTAGAAATAGTAGCTATTAAATTGAATTCGATTTCGAGATTTTTTTCTTTCCTTTCTTATCAAAATTTTCCTGCCAATTCGTGAAAATAAAGTCTCGATAACTATGCTTATAAGCCGCTCGGAAAGTTAAGTTACAATGGATTGTAGTCACGATAAGGTATCGAGAAATTTAAAAACTTTTGTGAGTTTAATTCGTTAAGTTAAGTCGCTATTAAGAAATGGACTACTTGTCTCTCCGGAAAGCATCAGTCCTAAACCTACGGGTTCAATTCAAATTCCGAGAACTATTCACAAGTTTTCCGCTCTGAAATAGACATTGGTAGTTTCTCCGGAGGGCTGAAATCCTGAACTTACAGGTTCAAGTTTTTAAAAACTGAAGCTCTAAATACGTGTGAGCGCACTTTGATAAACTAAGGCTACCTTAATGTACCGGTCCATAAGATTCTGCGACCATACCTGATTGCGGAGACAAAACAGTTCCTAAAGCTGTGATTAAAGGACTTTACATCCTGTGAAAATCGCTCTGATATTGAAGTCAAGGATCATATGCTCGATTTCAACACAGTTGTTGGTTTTGTCACAAAAAACGAATCAGAAAGTTAAAAGCGATTTGTTACACTGACTGGACTCCAGAAAGTAGGTTATGGAAAGTTTTTCAAATTGGCGTCGATATAATTAATTACTAGTTAAAACGATTTCAGCTAAATGATGGCCAAGCATGATTAGATTTTTGTAATGATGTAAAATAGAAATGCTTAAATCGTAATTTGTACTAAATCTTGACTTATAAAACAACAAAGTTGACACATAATTTCAGGAAGCTCTTTTAGACACCTTAAATGTTGTTTCTTTCGGAAATGTTGCTGTTTGTTTGTTTTTCTGTTTTTGGTTGATGGCCTTAATAATTTTGAAAATGACCGTTCCATTCCACGCCTCCCCTCCCCTGGTTCATTCCTAGTTCTACCTCAAAATCTTTCTACATTTTCAGTATAGCTGAAACGTATTTATAAAGCAAGAATTTGGTGGAAATCTTAAGTCAAATCCTAACTCAAATCAAATCGTTATCCTCTTGACCTGCCAGTTCCGTTTACTCACGGTATTGACTTGTTCCTCACCTATTTGAACAGTCATCACTATGTTGAAGAGTACGGCTGATCTCGTTTCATGGCAGGAAATAACGCATGCTTTACATGTGCACACGCAGTAAAGGGTTGTTAGGATTACTCTTAAAGGAATTACTGATAAGGTGCATTTCAATCCAGTGTCGAAAAACCAAACCCAAAGAAATCGTACAAGCAACCAGTGAGAAGAACCGAAAATCAGGAGCTGGTGAGCACTCGAGGTAAAAATAAGCAAAGTGTCTTAAACGCAAGAAATCGTGTGTAAGCCAGGAACTAAAGATTTTAGTTTTGTATCTGATTGGTTGAGAAGATGACGTAACTTATCTAGACCAAATTTACAATTTTTAGTAAAGATAGAACCATGGAATTGCCGGTCATTTTTAAACATCCTATCCAAATTTTCTATAAAACCTTTCCATTATTTGTCTACCTCCTCATACTTACATGTTCTTACATGTAATGAAAGAAAAGGTTCTATGCCTCTAATTGCATATTGATTAACGGCTGTTTTCAGCGTAGACTACGTCCCAGTTTAAATTCTTACGCGAAAAGCCACGTATTTCTAAAAGAAATGTTGGGAAATATGGTGGATGGAGACTACGTAGCAATGAAAATGAAACCGCATCGAGAGGAATGCCTAAAGTAAATACATTTTTACTTAAGATGTTTCTTCTTTAGTTCTCCGATTGGCTTACCCGATCAGCGTGAAAGCCCTGCTCAATTACGCAATTACAAGTTTCCAAAAACTTCTCTCAATTTGCCTAGCTTTCCACTCTGTTTAGGAAATTTGTAGAACTGTTACGCCAAGCTACATGGTTACAATAAATGTGGGGAATCAGATTCTTTCGGGCCACTTTCGCTATTAAAGAAGTATCAGGTTGTAGGGTAACGTTCCAATAGGTTCCGTTGTATCTGCTATTTTGCAACGTTTTGGTGATGGTCTTCAGAAATAATTTTCTCCTTAAATTTGGTTTCCAACTTTTAATACTTTTGAAAGTGCCCTTAATTATGTATGGTGTTTCTATGGATACACAAGCAAATATGTAACACGCGTTGTGATTTTCAGCTCATTCTCCGCTGACAATTTATCCCAAGATCGCTTTACAACCTGTAATATTCAAGAGAATGCAAGGTAAGTATTTTTGGCTTTCTCACTCCTAACTAAACTTATGGGTAAGCGGGGTTTTACTACATACACATGACATACAACTCGGCAAAATTCCTTAGTGTCCACATGATGTTCAGCTTTACACTCGACAACGATAATACGAGAACATCGTCAAGTTACTGAAGATAGTGGATTGTGAGAAAACATCATGTCTCTTGTGTGTTTTAGTTCTGACGAGGCAAAGAGATAAACTTTGGCGGGAAGCACTTCCAATTGACAGAGTATTTCTCGTTTTTGCTGCTACCTGCACTTTTAGTGACGCAGTGGTGAATAGTCTTACTCAATATCAATCTTGACAGGAGAAACACAGGTGCAACCCCGCGGAAGCTGTCAACTGCCACCTGCAGTCCTAACGCTTGTTCGAAGTGAGACCAGCAATTACCGAGACAATCCAACTCAAACGCTATTCTGCTCGTCTAAATACCAGAAAACTTAGGAATCAGCCCAGGAATTAATTGGCTTAGTAAGTATATTTCTGTTTTTTTCACCCAGTTTACCGGTTGGATTCTCAACGGCTCTCGAGCTCTTGTTAAATGAAATTCAGATAAAAAAGCAATGAGTTTACGTAAGAAAGTTTGGACTGGAGAGATACCTTCCGTTTGGTTAAGATAAGACTCTTAACATTTAGTAAAGTAAATAACCAAAATATCAATTATATAATTTCGTATACTGTTTTGGGAATGAAGGTTTGATTAGCTGGGGGTCAAGGGTTTCCGTTATGTGAAGCTGGTGTCAGGACAGGTTACTGGAAGGTACCGTTTCAGTCTCAGTAATTAGTAACTGACTAAGTATGTGAATGATATAAAGTTATTAAGATCTTGAGTTATATGTCATATATTTCACTCTTTACTGGCAAGGTTTGAGGCCTTCTTTTTACAGACAACCAAAATATGTTAAATGAATGTGATGATATTTCCTGTAACTCAGAAATCAAAGTAATATGTTCGATTATGATTTTTCTTGACCGTAGCACACACACAAAATTGAGGCTCCATAATTGGTATTCTGGCCATTTCTTTAGCTGATCGTGAGCTAAACTGTGATATGCTAGCCAATATGAAGGCTTATTTGACTCGCTGCTGGAATACCCTTCGAACTTTTATGAGGATGCTCCACCCATCCATATAAATCCTTGCCGCTTTTTGTACTACTTTTGGCTATCATTTGAGTTTGTTACAGCAGATTCAACAGTTTTGATTTCCGTCACATTTTGTGTTTGTTAAATCATTACCATTTCCACATACAGTAAGAGGGTACCCTTAAGGATAACGACTAACAATGTAATGATCAGTCCGGTTCGTTGCGATTAATCAGCGAGCTGATGCAATGTTGAGATACTGACCTCGCGCCCTGCCCGAAAAAAACCTTCCAGAGAGTTATTTCATGTCTTTCTTTGCAGAACTCACCCTCGAGGGTTTAACATTCCTTCTCGGCTACTTAGCCACACAATTGAATTCCACAACTGCCTACAAATTGAGAAGTACCCGATGGAACGAGAATCCAATAAATGTACGGCTAGACAGTGGTGGCGTTTGGACCAGATGCTGCGATAATTCCTTCCTCGTACTAAAGAGGAGGGACGGCGGGAGAGGCGGAGAGTAAGTTGCACAAGTAAGTTGCACAAGTAAGTTGCACTTCTTCTGGTGGAACGCCCCAGGGAAGGGAAGGAACAGATTCACTAAGCACGAACGAGGAGAAGCCTGAAATAAGGACCAGGTTTGGAACAGAGTAATGGTGGATATCTCTAATCTAGGACAAAGTACTTTTAATTATCTCTGATGTGGTTAGGTTTGCAAACGTGTATGAAGTAAGTCGCTGCAAACTAGTAGAAACTTAAATTTTCCGATATAAATCCATATGAGACTAGCAAACCCTATAGAGTTTAATATGCATCCCACATGCGCACTCGGCCAGATTCAGATCGTTATTAACGGTAAAATCAAGTACGATTCTGTGTTAAAAAATTCTTAAGTAACGTAGGTTTTTATTTCCCATAAGCCATAACCACACTCTTCTCTATTGCTGGTTGTTTTCCTCGCAGAGCTCGGCTGCAAGCTGCCAGTCAAAGCCACCCAGTTTATTTCATGAAAATGCCAAATAAAGAGAGTATCAGCTCTTGTCACCCAGATGAAGAATCTAAACAACACAGCGACAAATTCCTTCGCTACAATTGCTTGAACCAGAAATATATTGTTCCAAAGATGTTTTATTTCTTTTACTTTGCTGGACTTGGCGCCATAGTGCCATTTTTGCCCTTGTTCTATAAACAATTAGGTCTCCCGGCCAAACAGGCCGGAATCATCTCCGGTATTCAACCATTCATATCGTTCGTATTTACTCCAATGTGGGGAGCGTTATCGGACAAGACCAAGAGGGGAAAACTGGTATTCGTGATTTCGTTCATTGCTTTAGTAGCTGTTGGAATAGCTTTTCTGCTAACTCCAATGCCAACATGCAAACACAAAATGAGAGGAGACATTCATCGGGAATCAACATCTGCGAGAAATCAGTCTTTTATTAAAAACATGTATCAGTTGATATCAGAATCGCAGAATCTTTATCGATGGTCAATGGGAAGGGAAGAACAGAATGATTTTCTTGTACTCAGTCACGAGCAAGCTGGTCGCCAGAACAAATTCGATGTATTTTTATACCTGCTATTAGTCAGTTTATTTGGTACACTATTCTCGTGCCCAGGCCTTGCTCTTGGTGATGCTGCTGCTGTATGCCTCTTGCGGAATAACAACGATATACATCAGTATGGAAAACAGAAAAGATGGGCCTCAATAGGGTGGGGTTTGGCTGCGTTTAGTTTCGGTGCAATGGTGAGTGACAAATATTTGTGTCCGTTGGTACCTGGACAAAAAAGAACTATTGACTACAGTTTATGTTTTTATGGCTCCATTTCATTGAAGCTTTTAGCTCTTTTTTCAGGGCTTCGGCTTGATTTCGGTTTAAACGGTACAGACAGTAGTGATGACACGGTAAGGGAAAAGCACATTGGTGTTATGGCAGCGTTAGAAGCAGTGAGTCGTCCTCGTTACTTGGCATTCTTTGTAATTGTTCTTTACAGTGGAATGACTTTTGGCATGATCATGGGATTCCTTTTTTGGCACTTGGAAGACTGTTCTTCCCCACAGATAATGTTTAGCATAATACCTGTTGTGAGATGTATTGCAGACGTCATGGTGTACTCAGTGTCCCCTCACGTTATAACTAAAATAGGTGTGCATAATTTGCTATACCTTGTGTTGGCGTCTTATGTGGTGCGATTGACAAGTTATGTACTCATTACCAATCCGTGGTGTTACCTTGCCCTTGAAGTTTTGTCAGGATTAACTTCTGCAGGAGGCTGGGCAGGATTTGTGACGTATATTGCATATAACTCCGTGGAAGGAGCCCCTGCCACTTTACAAGGTGAAAACTTGCATTTCTGACCCCTGAGTTATGTGTTTTAAGAAGTACGTACACTTTTAGAGCTAAAATATATACCAGTGACCTGTCTTGATAAAAATATATACCAGTAGCCTGCCTTGATAAAGAGCGATTCTGGCAGTACCAGTAAATAGGGGCATAAACAAAATAGTTGTCCGTTTATAAAACCTGCGAGGAAATGCAAAATGAAGCAAAGTATGGTTTAACTTGGTTTTGACGTGAAGCGACGTTCTCTTCTTTACAAGTCTGTTGTTCCATTTTAAACCAGTCATAAACTACATCTCTTGATGGAAATTTCTAATTCTTCAGTAAATTTGAATTGTTGTTTAAAAAACAAGGACTTTAGACAAACGACCTATGGAAGCTTTCTATCCTCAATTCACGGAGGCCATGTTGCTTTTCTCAACAGCTATGCTCCACGGTGTGTATCATGGAGTAGGTCATGGACTAGGGCGAGTAATAGGAGGTTTTCTCTTCAGTAGCTATGGAGCTCAAGTAACATTCTCTATATTTGGTGGCCTCGGGTTAATTATGCTATTGATGTTTGGGTCAGTTAACAAAATATTCGAAGATAAACCAAATGATCAAAGTTAATTAAAACATCATGTGGATGCTGTGCGTTCACTATGTATATTTTGGTCGCTTTCGTTTTTTTAATGTTTTTACGCAACTTACATACACAAGTTTGCAGAAAGCTCAAATATGTTGTCTTACAAAGACAATTTAGGCAGAAATACTCGCATTGGAAGTTTTAGTTTTACTCAGCTGATTATCTAACGAGGAAAAATTTTGCTTACGCCAAAGTCAGCAACCGGATGACCAGTTAAATATTTTGTTTTTGTTGCTGTTACTATTGGAAAATATTTGATCAACCAATTTTACTCTGAAAAGTACAACAGTAAACCGACTTTAAAATTATAACACATAATTGTATACCGGGAAGAATCCCAGAAATAAAAATGGAGCGAGATAAACGAATATATCTTATGTTTTTGATTTGATCTTGTTTAAAAAAACAAATATTATAAGGATACAAAAGCTTATAAGAGCGTACAAAAGAAACAAAGTCTTCATTTCGGCGAATTGTACAAGAAATCCTCCTATAAACCCACCAGATGCGAAACCAAGTCCCATGTAAACTCCATTTAGAATTCCTTGAACTGTGTTTGGTACTCCGGGATGCAACCCAACGTAAGAAACACACGATGACCAGAATGCTGCGGTGGTAATTCCTTGGAGTAATTCCGCAGGTAAAACTGCCCAGGGACTTTTCACGAAGTAGAAGTAAATAAAGCGAATAGAGTAGCAAAATAACGCGACATAGATAACATTGATGTGTCCAAGAAAACCGAGCAGCTTGTCCGTCACAAAAAACACACACACTTCTGCCGCACAGTTTAGCCCGTTCATCACGCTGAATAATAACTGTCCTCCCCCTAATTCGTGAAGATACCAAAATAGAAACGTTTCTATAAATCCCGTAGCTGAACCGCAAAAAAACGCGATGAACATGACAAAACAGAATTGAGGATTACGAAAAACCTTGAGCCCTTGGAGAATTTTTGGAGTTTTTGAGCCACCTGTGACATTTACTTCTTGCTCATCTTTGATAAAAGGCTGATCAAACTGAAATTGAGTTGCGCATACAAACGCCACACTCATTGCCACCGCAAAAACGTAAAAACAAGGCATGTAGTTGATGACAGTCTCACCACAACGATTCGTGCGATAATTCGCGCTGACAGCAGCTCCGACAGAAAATCCCCCAATGCCCCAACCCAGAGATCCCCAGAGTCTTACTCGACCATACTTATGAGATTCACCGTTAAGATTTTGAAGCGTTACAGTATCTGCAAATGCTTGGGCTGGAGCTGCAATCGCCGTACCAATTACAGTTACAAGTAACAAGAATAGAAATTCCTTGGAGTCACATTCAACGTACTCATTCTCTGTTGCTATTGCGTTTGAAAAATCTTGAGGAGGCTTTGTAGCTGAAGGCTCTAATGATGCCACTTCCAGCTGATCTTTCCAGCCGTCATTGATCCTCAGGGCTTCCGCTTCTTTGCCGTGGTTGTGTAAAGTAACGTTATAAACAGTCTTCAGATCTTTAAATGTTATAGGTAAGAACGGTACAGTTGTGTCAAGATACGGCGACACTCTGGAAAAAAAATCGTGTTTTCTTGTTTGCTGACGAGTAACAGTGTTTGAATCGGAAAAGTTCTCAGTAAATTTAAGTGAGAATGTGCGACTGTTCGGCAATGAAATTTCTCTGTCATCACCATCGTTATAATCATTGTACTTGCTGTTGTTATTGTTGTAAAGTTTACACCACTGAGGTTCATCAGTAGTTGGAACTAATGACAATAAAAAATTTGACACTAACCAACCTAATACCGACATCAGAAATATAACCTTGCTTTTGCAAAACCTATCTGCGCATGCGCCCCACAGAGGAGTTACGCAAAACTGAATCAGTGGACGGATACCAATAAGGATTCCGTTTTGATGGGAAGATAATCTCAGCTGTTTGAAATAAACTGGTAGGTACGGAAACAGTGCCCCAATAGCCACGTAAAATGACGTGTAAAATGCTTTTGAGAGCCAAAGTCCTTTATCCATGCCAGGAAGAAAACTTTTCTTGCTACTTACTCTTGCCGCACTCATCCGCCATGAATTTCAAAGGTTTCCTATATTGTATTATTTACCTCGAGAGCTCAGTCTAACAAATTAGAACTGAATGAATCCATGGACGTCGTAAATGGTTTCCTTGCCTTGAATCTCAAGAGCGCTCTTCGATGCTGGTTCAGATGATGAAGAGACCCTACTGTGTCTTATTTTAACATATAACTTCGATTATAGCTTTCCTTCATTTCTGATTACGGATGAGAATCCATCCAAAATCACAGCTTACTGACGAGAACAGTTCATTCCTTTGCGGAGACATCCAACAATTGCGTGTAATACTGTTTTAAATTGTGGACTGGTACTTGGTAACGCATGACAGAGTTTGATTACAAGAGAGAACCTGACATAGATTGTTCAAAGTACCTGACAAATCGTGTTTAAGGATTATGGCTGCTAAAATCCTGGTGATGTTAAAAACGGTAAAGAAATCTTCATCGACACATGATTTCGCTTCATATCTTCGCACTGTACGTTAATTTATGACCATTCTGGAGGGTTACTTCACGAATCCCTGAACGGAATCGCCACATCATGGCCATATCGATTCGTTTTTATCAGTAAACTGAGTTTTTAAGAAAGTGGAGGAAATCTTACGCAAATTTATATGCCTCTAGAATGGATAGGTGATATTTGATGTTATTTCACTACAGAATCATAACGTGGGAAAAAAACATCCTAAAAAATGAACTTTGTTCGCAAAAAATAAATCTACTTAGGTTTCATTGATTTGTCGTTCGAGGACAAATAAGATTACACTTTGATAATGTACGGACAATGACAGATGGCACACTTTTTAGTAGGAAAAAAGGTTTAATTGTATTAAATGTCCGTATGAAGTGTTTACACATCTGATTCTTAACGTCGTAAAGTTACTCACCGTTGAAGTACTTAATATGGCCATAAAAGGAATGGTACGAGTAATTTATCGATAATTGAGAGCTATCAAGCTAACACTGAATATATCAATAAAATAATTTTAAAAAATAAAATGGAAATTATTGTTTTATGTACTTTGAGGTTAAAAAATGTAAAAATACAAAACACTGGAAATACTACCAAGGGCAAAATGTTTCCTCGCCCTATGTTTATGTTATTAACAAACACCACGAGTTGCCTAAATTGCCTTAGAAAAACATTTCTCATCCTCTTGTCAGATATATATCAACGTAGGTACGGTTTTAAGCACTGGTATACTATCTCAGCCATCTTGTCATAGCCATAAGCGGTAGGATGAAGATGATCATTCCACAAAAGAGCTTGGGTTTGAGGCGCAAGCGAATGTCTCGGAAACTTAGCAGCCAAATCACACAGCACTACATTTCCTTGTGATCTAAGTGCATACTTTCGCAAGTCTTCGTTTAGTCTATTACGCATAACCCACAAGGTCTTAAAACTAGGCCAAGCTTCGTAAGCCGTTTCCGGAATGGTTAAAAGGAGGGTTCGCGCACCGTACCGGTGTGCAGTTTCATGGAGCATTTCAATATCACTTGTAATTCGTGGCTGCCACACGTTAATTAGCTGAGTCATAAATGAATCATCGTCTCCAAAATTCTTAACATGTGCTACGTCATTAGTTCCACCCAGAATGATTACCCAATCAAATCGTGAGCTGTTTCCCAATACTTGTGGTAAGCGCTTGGTCATGCTGCCATGTGCCATTTCACGCACTTTTCCACTCGTTTTGACGTAATACTTCAGTCTACCATCAGAATTCAGTAGTTGACTGAGTCGTTGACTGTAGGGGTGGAAATTTCGCCCATGGTTGAAAAAGCCACTAGTCAAACTATCTCCAAAACATAAAATGTTTCGCGAGTAAGGATCTGACCTTCGAGGAGAAAAAGATATCGGAGAGGATGCTGGTAAAGACCCTGGTGACTGAACAGATGAAGGTTCTGACTGAGAGACAGATGGAGGTCCTACTGGGGAAATCTGTGAATTTTCATGTGGGGGAAAGAACTGCTCCATCGTTGGACGAAATGATGATCGGCCAATGTCCGGTTCTCCAAGGGTTGGAGGTAGTTGGGTTGTAAGAGTAGGCGTTAGTGGTGTATATGGTGACTGGGGTGGAATCGTCGTTATCACAGTAGTCTTCAACGGAACAGCAGTTGATTTCGGCTTGGACTTCAATGGAGGTTTCGGAATAAAACTTGTTGTTTTTGCAAGAATTGTGCTGCTCAGGCTATTTGAATCTAAGTTGCCTATGCCTAACTTTGATAAAATATTCGTCAAACTTGTCCTGACCATTATTTTCTTGGGTTTAGGAGATGTTCGTTTTGGTGGAAATGATGGCTCTTTTGTCTTATGCTTCGATTTGATTCCTTGTGCCTGCTTTGTTCTTTTTTTGCCAGCCCTCTGAAGCAGGAGTGGCAAAATGCGTTTCACGATGTCTTGCATGCTTTTTTCCCCTAATGAATTCTTTGCTGGGGTGGTAATCTTATTCGTTGGTATAGGCTTTTTTGTCGTCGTCTTTTCTGTAGTTGTGCTCTGTGTTGGTTTAGTCTTTACCTCAGTGGCCTCTGATTCCCCGACGTCATGATCAGCGTTGAGGATTTTAGCTACTACTGCAGGAAGTACTTTGGCCAACAGCCTTTGAATGTTGACCTTACTATCCTTTTGGCGATTTTTTGGTTGTCCTGCTGGGTCTCCATTCCTCTCATTGTGTTTGGTTACATTATTTTCTTTTGCATGATTTATCTTTGATGTCGAGTTATCACTTCTGATGGAGTTGTTGTCTACATTTCTATTTTGCGTAAGAACAGCTTCAAGAGAATCAAAAACATCATCGCTATTTGTTTTGTTTTTCCTCTCATACGTCCTGGCAAGTTTAAGAACTCGTAAAAGCTTTCCATAGAATAGTTTATCGGGATTTTGAACGTGTTTTTCGCCTCTCTTGGATGAAAGCTTGTTCTTTTTCATTTCCAAACCACCCTTCACTTTCTTGTTATGTTTCTTCTTCTTTCCACCGTGTCTTTTCTCTGATTTACGTTTCAGGTGGTGACTTTTTTTGTGCACTCTATGATGATGTATTTTCCGCTTTGTCTCTACTTTGTGGTACTCTCTTGGCTTTTTGATGGAGTTGCGAGTCTTATTTGATCTGAAGCTTTTCTTTTTGCTGTGTTGCCACGACTTTACTCTCTTTTTCTTTTTTTTGTGACCACGCTTCGAAGATGAAGAGTTTAATTTGAATTTTCTCTCATCCTCTTTCTCCACTTTACGAAGAAATTCTTGGGATAAACCCCAAACCTTGGTTTCTTTCTCTTTGGTAGGCAGAAGGTTCATGGCATGCGCATAAGAAGGGTCACAAATACGCACGTTATATCGTGGAATTTCTATTTCATTGGAAACTGTTTTCTGAATGTGGATAACACCTTTAGTCACGTACCACCTTTTACTGCACAGCTGAGCATATTTGACGGGAAACGTCCGTTGATGGTTTCTATGCCTTACTCTCAACCTTACAGGTCGACATGCGAGTAATGTGTGCAAATACTGCTTTTTGTGACCCACAGCCCTTGTAATTTTCACGGTTCCGCGAGTTGCAAAAGTATCAATAACATTACACGTTTTAACGCGATGCCTACTAATATGCCATTTACCTCGAATTTCGTCACTAAGAGAATGATGCTTTCTGTACCGATGGTATTGCTTGAAATCCAAAATTTTCCCATGCCGCTCATGTGTGACGTGGTGTCCGCCTAACCCTTTTGAATGACGATGAATTGCATGATCCTTCTTTCTGAAATGATAATGCGAATGCCTTGAGTGACCGGTCTGCACAGTTATCTGTGGATGTGGAATATTTGTCCTTCTATACTTGTTTGATGTGTCTTGACGTCTCTTATGTTGTGCTTTCTTTTCCAATCCATGATAAGTGTGATAAACCTCAATTTCCGATGAAGTGTGCACTCGTCTTGATGCAAGGATATGTGATCTATGACGCACTCCTCTAATTGTCGAACCATTATGACGACCCTTACCCAATTTTCGTGTGCCATAACGCTCCTTGGTTTGCTTTCCCGCTTTCCTCCCAACTTCAATTTTATGATGTCTTGGTGAGGAAGCTTTACTCGAGGCTCTGTTGCTTTCCTCTTCAATATCCTGAATTTCTTCGAATTCCGAGTGTTTTCTGAAAGGGCGACTCTGTTTCCTTTTCTTATGTCTTCTGTTTTTTCTTCGAGGCTTCTTCCTCCCTTCCCCGGTATGACTTGATTGTCGTGGTGATAAACTGACTTTGCTAGAACTTCCTTTAAGGAAGGAAATGAGAGGGGATGGAGTAGTTTCTGCTCCAACGAAATTACTCATGAAGGGGCTCTCTCCATAATAACCGTTGCTGAAGGAACTTCTGGTCATAGAATTCTTGTTTGAAGGAAAGTAATAGGGGGTTATGTAGGAGACATTAGGTTCCACAGGATATGACGACACGGCTGGCTTATCATTTGAAATTCCGACGGAATTGCTGCTATATGGAAGTGGGCGGGAAACCTTGGTTTCAATTGGATAATTTTGATTTTCCATCACACCCGCCGGTATTGGAGGCCGAGAATAAAGATAATAAGCTTTCGGATAACGAACTGTAGGTAGAATTGGATTAAAAACAGCGGGGTATTGTTCTGATGGGTAATTTAACGCTGGCTGAATACTATTGAATGCTCCTTGGTAATAGTTATTGAAGCGTTTTGTCGCCCTCGCTGGAGAAGGCAAAGTTGGTAAAAGGTTCCTGAGCGCAACATTCCCTCCAATTAAAGGATCGTCATTGTTGGTAACAGATGTAATTTTTTCATGCTCGTTATTTGGTGAAGGAAAATAAATTGGAGACGAAGGCCTCTGTTGCGGAGCCTCGTTTTGCGAGGGGTGAAGTTTCTTTACATTTTGATGAAAATGTTCCGTTATGCTTTCTGTTGTCATCCAAGGATGAGCTGCGGGATAGCCCGTGAGGGCATGCGGCGTGGGACCTAACTTAGTTGTTGATGTAGAGTTACTCGAACCAGGCCTCCGTGTGGAGCGAGAGTGAGCGCTAACGATTTTCCAAATCGCGTACAAGAATGTCAAAATAAACAAAGAAAAAACGGCATAAAATGCCACAGATCCATATCCTCGGTGACAAGACACCAACGAGCTAAATTTCTCTGCACAGTTAAGGCCATCACTGACTTCTTGCACTCCTGACCGCGCATTCAAATTGTGAATTCGTTTCCACCAGTAACTGTTTGGTACTGAACGGGACGCAGTGTTTCTAGGCCCGGATGTCCGATTTCCCTGCTCTCCAACCATTGACAGCTACATTGAATTCACTGCGAGGCAGAAAGAGAAAAGGTTTAAGATAATGAATATTGCCAAACTCAAATAGGCATCTATCTGATGTTAGTTTGAAGGTTTAGTGACAATGCTTGCGTTATAATAAAACGAAACCGTCTATAACACTGCGAATTGCACGACTCACTGGAAACCAATGTGGGAGGTGTTTGAGGTACATTAGACAACATATCCAGAATAAACTGTACGATTTCTGAGTAATGCACTGGTTCGTATTTTGGAAAATAGCTATCAGAAGTGTCTTTAAGCTGAGAGGTTGCAAAGGGCATTGTTGGAATTAAAGGGTGGAAATTCTTTCAAGCACTACATAGGACAAAAGCAGCCATCCCAGCTATTGACTTCAGATCTACTAGAGCGAAGCAAGAAGTCCATTTGTATGATCTCTTTGCTTTAATAGACAAACAAGTTGGTTAAACATTCATTCGACCGCAACAGGTGTGTAAATTGTGAAACTAACACGACTGCTTGTTCAAGCAAGTGGCATGAACCAATAACCTGACAAAGACAGAGCACATTTGTGATCAAAGCGACGAAGGAACACAAAACAAGGTAGGAAACTTTGCCGTGGAATTTGAACGATCCTCGGTGAAAAGAAATTATACTTACTCTAAACCAGCCAACGTACTCAGAGAAGCCTTTTGGGCGTACCCGTTCTGCTAAGATGATAAGTTGTTGACCTTCATAAACCGTCAAATTTTACGCTATTCCTTGAATAGGCAAATTAAATTGCCTTTGCTTCTCGCTGACGCCGATTTCTCTGGATCTCAACCAAGAATCTTACTGGTATTTTAAAACCAAGACGAAGAACTTGCTGCCACACATGAGGACGAGCTTCGGCAGAGGATTTTCAGAGAAAAACTACTATACTAAAATGGAAATGATGTGCGACAAAAATTGTCAAAAATGAGGTCATATCGTCGTTTGGGAGTTTCTGAGATTCGTCTTTTAAGCCCAATGTTTTCCTTCATAAATTTATGGTAAGGATTCTATTACACTAATCTCTTTTGATTTCTTTTCTGCTTGTTTGTATTTTTTGAAAATCAAGCTATAACAATCACAGAGACTATTTACGAAATGGCAAAGGAACGTATATCGATACAATTAAAAAATGGAGCTTCTGAAACATCTCCTGTAAATTCAACTTTCTTATAAAATTCATTTTGCGTAAAATTTATTGTATGCTAGTCCCACTTTGATATGTAGAAGTACAGTGGCTCTCACGGAACCGCAAACGAGACATACGTGGCTAGGACTAAAGTGCTTTTTCTTTAAATATAATCACTAAATAACGTCATGCACTAAGCCAAAGGAAACGCCATATTTCATAAAAAAAAAACTCCACCCATTATAACACACAATTATGTTTGACGGGTTTTGTTGGTACGTTGAGTTAATGGAAAGAACGTTTCAAGATGATTGGATGAATAAATTGAATCAAATATCTGTAGTAAAACAACTATAATAAAGACAGTATGGGGACTAAAAACGGTAAGAATTCATGATGGGAAAAATGTGATGACGCACTCGGCAAAACTGTGTAAGCTTCGTCCTGAGGAACTTTTTGAAAATAGATCAATCCGCCTGGAAAAGTGAAATAACGACCCCCTCGATGGTAACAGATATACAGGTGTAAAAGTACGACTGGGAAAGCGCAGATTAAGAAAGAAACGAGCCAGAGAAGCGTAATTTTACGTCTGCTCTTTTGACTTTCGCCCTTGTTCGCATTGCGCCGCGCCGCCCGAGAAAGTTTAGATAAGCGTCTCAAACAAACTGTTTAACCAAGCCTTAAAGTAGTAAATGAGTTCTCAGTAATCGGACCCTTCTTTTGGCGCAAAGATTTATGGGATCGCCGGGGGGTCAAACTCTGCAAGTCGCTAGAACCAAAATAATGGCGAAAGCTTATTTCGACGTCCAAATCCACGATTTTGGAGAGAGATCAACCAATCATGTCAGAAATGGATTTAGTCGATGTTGATATGATGGAACCGTAAGTTTTCGTTTAAAATAACTACGAAATATGTTTTAAAATATACCGATAAACTTGTGGCCCGGTTGTTTGAAGATTGGATAACGCTATCCACTGGATAAAACTCTACCAGGTGAATAACGCTAAACGTTTAGCTATCACTTATCAGCCGCATAGCGATTTATCCGTTGCATAGCGTTATACGCCCTTTATACAACTGGGTTATGTCCTTGTGTGAGGTTTATTGCAGAATCATGATCGTGTAATGATCTTTAAATATTACAAAGTTAGCCATTTATCGCTGGGAAATAACTCAATAACCTCTTTTTTGCCCAAACGCAAGAATCCGTTAACTGGCAACTCGCTTCTTACCTTACATATGCATACCTCAATACCTCTTAGCAGTAATCTGTTTAAGAATAGACTGAGAAAACTTTATCTGAAGGAAAATTACGGGGGCTGCGTGGTTCAATTTACGCGTCATAATCACATAGCGATCGCTATCATGACGTCATAAAACAATGATGACCAACCAATCCAGTAATTGATTTTTCTGATGCATTGGAAATCTGTTTTGATAATTGAACTGCATGCAATTTAACCTTGTTTGGTAAGTAGACCTCTTATTATCATTTGAAGTTTGAAGAGAGTTGATCGTTTTTATTCAACAAATAAAGAAGCCGTGACTGTGCTCTGTCCTGTTGCAAAGCACACAGCTAGTGGATAGAGCTTGAAGAGGGAAACATAGGACGTCGTCGAGTGTTTCTCCCTACTTCTTGAGTGCCAGGTTCCCAGGTTCTTCCTCGTCAAAATTGTTCAACAATGCGATTGTTTGAATAGGACCAAAGCTGTCAAAAATGTCAAACCATCAAAGTTCACGATCTGCGATACAGTCAAACCTATATAAAGCGAAAAACGGCAAGGTGACCCCTAAATGCAGGTTGACCGCTTAACATAAGTTCCACAGATAAAAGGATGAAAATTCAAGAATAAAAAACGCCATTTTATCATGCTTATGCCATAATTGATCTTAACATACAACCATTAGCTGTGACTGATGTGGACTTCCACCCAACGCATCGGGAAGGATATCAGAGCAAGCTGAGCAAGCTTTTAGTTTTCACTCGAAGGGCGGACGGTGTAATTTCTGAGGCTTGTTTCGCTGCAATGACCGGAGCCGCGATGGATGAAGGCATGATCGCAATCGCTCAGACACCATCATGATTTCTAAGTTATGCCGGTTTGGTTATATTTTTCATCATGAGTGTTTTGTTCTGTTTTGTTTTTGAACACTAGACTATATATATCATACGAATGTTAGCTGTGATTGAGTTTCATTACCGTACGCAAGCTTACAATCAAACTGAGCGTCAAAACCATTAAAACTCGGACTGTCGATTTCGTTTTCTCTTTGGTGATTTTCGTCTCTGCTCACGTTATAATAACGTCAATTACGGCGCCTAGCATGTTTAAAAACTTTTGTTTGGTTCCTCTGTTCCTACTTGCCAGCTCGCGAAATTTCATTTTCAATTAACGAAAAAAAGTTAGAGAGAAGTCCGGAAAACGGACGGACAAGGTACAAATTGGCAAATGGTGTGACAGCTTCAGCTCAGCTCCGTTTTTTTGTACTGTGATAAAATACGCCCTTTCAACAAATTTCAGCTCGCTTTTTATCGGAACTTTATCATAAATAGATTAATTATTTTTTGCGGCATTTTACCATTCAAAGAGTTTATACATTGGTGGGGGTATATCAAGATAGTTTGGTTCTATTAACTGAGTTGATAATGTAAATTGGCCACTGAAAAAGCTAACATTTCGAACATTCGCCCTTTACCATTCGCCCTGGGGAACGGCCAATGCTCGAAACGTCAGCTCTAGAAACTCTTTACGGTGGCCAGTTTACATCGTAAACTCCGTTGAAGAAACTCAAAAAAGAAAATTGTTTGTTTTAAAGAAAAGACGGACTTAGAAAAAGCGTCAGTTTTTTAGACTGCTCTGATCAGACCAACATCAGTTACCTTTCTTATCATTCCATATCAACTAGAGCAGTACATTTGTCCAGTTATACGACACTCTCGACAAATATCTAATCTATCTGAAAAAGCAAGTTCCCTCTTGTGAGCCAGTGCCAAAATGTAAACGGTTTAAAGTCAAGTAAAGCTGTCTCCCTAGTAATCAATAACTAAGTTTAGCAGTGGAAGAAATGTGATTTGCGAAAGGACGCCAATCTTATTGTAAAGCAACAGTCCAGCTCTATCTATCACATGACTCGGAGAGTAGACAGTAACAGCACATTTACTTTTAACATGGTAATGCTTTGTTAAAGAGCAATTAAACTTTTAACCTGGGGGAAAGTCATCATTTTTTTTCGGTCTTCTACGCTGGAGTGTGAATTACGCATCAGAAATGGGGAAAATATTGTTCGCTCTCATTCTATCGCGGATAGTTTCACTTTGCTTTCGCTTTAAGGTCGCTTGAACACGCTAAAAACCAAATGACACCTATACTTCAGGTCGATGAAATGTTCATCGTTGTTTCGCATAATCATTGAGCAACTGAAGCACTGTCTTTTAAATTCACCTGTGCTCTTACAGGGTTAATTTTGGTTTAATTCATGTCATTTCAGTGGACCCTTAGTAACCGTGAAACAAATGAAAATTTCAAAAATAAGCCAAAGGGAACGATAAAATAAAAACTAAAAAAAAACGGAAATAAAAGGGGAACAAACTCGGAGCGTTACAGTTGAATTTTTCTTTTGTTTATTTACAAGAAATCAACTGACGCTTAAGTTTCCAAACAATTGCTGAATAAATGTCAATTACGGGCAGAGCGGAGTGTTTCTTCGTAACAAAGTGAAGTGACGCTTTCAGCTGGTACCTGTGAAGTGAGAAAAATGAACAGGTTGTTTGACTTTGTCTTTGAGCAGCTGTAAAATGATGATCGGGAAAGTAAGATTGGAGCAGCAGTTTAAACAAGAGGAGGAGAGGAGTACAGAAGAAACGATTTCAGAAGATCAAAAAATTAAAAGGGAAAGTACAGCAATTGAAATAGAGAGCGAGGAAGAGTTGTACGGATTGGCTCTCATACTCCGTAACACAGAAGACGCCGCCAAAAAGAGCCGTGATTTGACAGGGATACCAGATAAAGAGCGGTCTGATGATCATGAAAGCAGTAGAGGAGAGAAAACAAATGGACCGTCTGAAAACAAAGAGAAAGCCTGTTTAAGATGTTGTCAAAATATTAACAGAAGCCTCATTATTTACAAAAGTTTTTACTTCTTTTTCTTTTCGGCTGTGGGTTCTTTATTTCCTTATCTCGCAGTGTTTTATAAACAGCTATGGCTTTCCGCCCATGAAACAGGAATACTGATCGGAATCAGACCATTGATTCAGCTTTTCGGAACGCCTATGTGGGGAGTCATCGCAGATACATACAAGAAAAGCAAAGTGATCTTTGTGGTGTCACTAGTTGCATGGTTGGTATCGAACTATTCCTTGTCTCTCGTATCTCCTGTTTTTCATTTGGGCGTTTGCAATGATAACGCTACCTTAACAATCATCCAAGAAATTATGAAAGAAATGAAAAACAGAACGATCTCACAGAAGAATAACACAACTCATCATAAACATTCTACGCATAAACCCTCCATACCTCTTTCAGCAAACTCTGGAAATTCTAGTAATCATTGGTTTGAGATAGTCAGGAAAGAGAGGGCAAAACATCCTTCGAAGCGAAACGCAGGTCAACCATTGAAGTATACACTTCAAAACAAAGTAAACAAAGTGCTTCAGGTAAATTATCATGTAAACATTTTGTACGATTTGATGGAAAAAACCGACAGTACTTTGGTTTCTAAAAGAGGAATCAAACAGATACATCGATTTTTAGACAGATCAACACTCCATACAAGTAGCCCCCCGATAGTGAACAAGTCAATGGTTCGTAAGCGAAGTGTTTATAAAGGAAGATTTCTTCATGCGTCACTCAACGATAATCAAAGAGGGAGCAATAACAAACGTCTAATCACAATAGGACAGTGCTTCAAATCGGGCAGTGATGAACAAAGGTTACGCCGAGCCAGCTTGGATAAAAGCGCACTGATGTCCAAACCAGATATCTTAACACTTTTCATGAATTCAAGTAGTATCAACGAGGACGGGGTTTTCATTCAATTTTACAGCGGATGGATGGAAAGAGTTTTCGACTCCCTGAACATGGCTGGGGAGTATCCATGGCCTCTGGACACAGTGGCGGACTATGAGTCAACACAGGAGGCACATGAGTGGCTAAATCCACATGATCATGACTTGTTTACCATCCTGTTTGTTATCACAGCTACTGGTACACTGATTGCTGCACCAGCTATTACCTTAGCTGACACTGCCACACTGCAGAAGCTTGGTGAGTATATTGAAGTTGTCGATATTCAAAAATTTTCTTGATTATTTCTTTTGGGAACATACGTAAACTTTGTTGTGATACCTTGTTTTACTTCTGAGTAGATTTTTTGGGTAAAGCAATGAAATACGTTATTGATATCACAACACTACTGATAACATGTATAAGTAATAGTGGTGGTACTAGTGGTAGTAGAAGTAGTCATAGTAGTAGTAGTAGTGATCGTGATCGTGATCGTGATCGTGACCGTTATTATGATTGTATGTTTTCCTTCGTAAGGTAACAGGCCAGAGGACTACGGCAAGCAGCGTTTATGGGGAGCGTTTGGCTGGGGACTAGCAGCCTTTATTGTTGGATCAAGTCTAAGCACAGTTGAGGAACTGAGTAACTGTAACAATCCTTTGAGTGTAGATTACCTGCCATGCTTTTACGCTTTTGCGTGTCTAATGGGCGTGGCTGTCTTGATTGGTGCTTTGTTTGAGTTTGACGAAAAAGAGTTACACGAAAGTAGCATCTGGCAAGGGCTTGCATTGTTGTGTGACTGTCAATATATATACTTCATCTTCACAATTCTGTTCTGTGGAAGTGCACTGGGCTTTATAGAAACTTTCTTGTTTTGGCATTTGCAAGATTTAGGCGGTACACAGTTCTTGTTCAGTACCATCACTGCCATCCACTGTATTTCTGAGGTGGCAGTTTACAGTTTTTCTGGTACGTTCATCAAATGGCTAGGGCATCACCGGGTTTTGTACGTTGGACTTTCATGCTATATAATCAGATTTTTTGGCTATGCCCTTATAACAAACAGCTGGGTGGTACTACCTTTTGAGATCCTTCACGGCTTGTCCACAGCAGCCGTATGGTCAGCGGCCGTCGTCTTCGTGGGACTCATTCCCGGGGCGCCTGCAACAATGCAGGGAATTCTTGGTGGTGTGCACTGGGGTCTGGGTAATGGTGGTGGAGGAGTGCTCGGTGGATTATTAATCACTTACGCTGGTGCTACCACCTCTTTCCTCATATTTGGAGTAATCAGCATAGTAGACTTGAGTTTATTCATACTTTTGAACAACATGGAATTTTTCAACTGTTTTGAGTGGTCCAAAGGGAGTGGTACACAATCAGAGTATAGTCCAGTAGAAGATGAAGCCTATAAAAATGAAAAACTAGAACCAGATTATGACGATCTTTACTGAACATTTTATTTTGCAGTTCTCTGAGCTGAGTTTGTTCAACTGTACCAAGATGAATATCATTTACTACATTATCACAAAGCATCTGATCCAAAATGAAATAAGCTTAGATTGAATTAACACTAGCGTAATAGAAAGCAGTAAACTGTACTGAAAATTTTCCATGAGCAGGCTTTACTCTTGGTGTAGTCTCGAACAAAACGACCATAATCGTTTTAGAGCTTTCATTTTGATAAATTTTGATTAGTTGACATGTTTTGCACTTTGAATACATTGTAATCCTACACGGGAAAACATTGTAATAACGCAAGAATAGCACGAGAACGCAAGTCAGGGTACAGCGTGTTAACTATTACTCGCCCCAGAAGTCTTAAAAACCATGTAATCTCCTATCGTTATCTTTTCGATGAAAGAATGGTACCGAAATGTGGTCAAAGAATCTGAGTTTGCTGGAAGGAACTATGGTAGATTCTGTTACTGTAAATGTTCGAACCGATAAGCTGTTCCTCTTGCTCACACCTAACGCGGATGAATTAAGAACTGCGAGTCAGATTAGCGGTATGAATAGTTGGACTTGGTTCCTATAGTTACAATAATCTAAAACTTCCTTCACCTCTCCGACTGTTGTAAGCAGCGGCCTCCTGCTGACAATGACCAAACAGACAATGGACTAAATTAACATCCTTTACATTAAGCTACAATGGTTAGAACAAAAAGCGCTCCCAAAAAGAGTAAACTCCTACCTGCGTAAAATTCGAATAGAAACTTAGCTAAGTTAAAAAAATAGCCCAGTGTTACTCAGGAAAACCACAGAGACACACACCCACGCTACGGCTTTGTGGCCCAATCCACTCCCTTGGAATTAGTTCAGGGGACCTCAGGAGTACACTATCTGATAGCCATGTCCCTGCAGACCACTGTGATAACTCACATTGCACAGTCAAACAACTGCCACAAAGTAGTTCATGTACTAGTCATCATAAAAAAGACAGCAGGAGGTGGTCCGAAATATCGACCACGCGACAACGCGAACAATTATTTCGAGCATACCAGCATGGAAAAACATGTGGGAATATCATATCCCAATTGTTTTCTTCGTTCACGGATAGGCAAACTATCAATACTAACAAAGAATTTATTTTCGAAGACATGTCAAATTGTAATGTTCCCCATGGAGTTAACCCCGAAATTCGCCTTTTCTATTTCCAACAGACAACGACGAGTTGTCTGTTGCAATAGTGCAGCCACGAGGAAGAAAATTACGGAACAAAGTTTGGGGTGCCTTCCGGGGGTCCTGAGTTTTACATCAGGGATATTATGAAAAGGATATAAATAGGTATGCATAACGTACATGAGGATAGTGCTGTAAGAGCGGTAGCATATGTTAGATCACGTTAGTCTTTGACTAAGTGCCATGTTGCATGAATTCAACTGGTTTTCCTTGCTTGTCCTCTTTCAGGAAGATCACGATGTCTTTTGCGCTATACATAGGTTTCAGTAAAACATGACCACACCTGTTAGGGAACTTGCTGTAGTTTTACACCGTAGTGGTCATGTACGAATGACAATAACTCTTAGGTGCCGAAAAAAAAATCATAATTTCAAGTGATAAACTGTATAAATATTGGTAGCCCCCGATGTAGCTATTTCATGAGCTTTGGTGAATCGGCCGCATGAGTTTCTTCCCCTTCAACTTCTTGTGATACTCTTGGTGTTTCGGTCTTGTCCCCAGCGTAAAATCTATTTTAATGAAACTCAAGACGTTAGCTTCAGGCAGTGAGATGAAACAAGGAAGGGTAACTTTTCCCATTATCATCAATTTATCTCTTTCCTTTAAATTTGCCCCAGAAAACTACATAAAGCGTGAAAATCTATAATCACCGCTGGAAATAAATAGATTCCACACGTAATAATTTTAATTTTCTGTTCCCACTCCCCATTCTTGCAGAATTTTTCCCACAAAAATCCCCACAAAATAAGCATTGACTTAAAATTGTACCTGTAAAATCTTTCAAATGCGGAACTGTACTTGAGAGGTCAGTTTGGAAACACGTTTTGCACGAACATCAAGTTCCGCAGGTAAAAGAGGCAAAAACAACATCATTAATGCATCAGCAAAAACTCACTCAGGCAGATCACTTTCGCTGTCAAATTTTGCCTTTGGTTTAAGCCTTTCCCAATTGCATGCATTTGATTTTTTTCCCTCGAGAGAGTACTACAACTAAAATTCAAATTTTAATATTTAATAGTTGACTGCTGACTTTGTTTACAAATACTACGATCCTCTAGAATTTTCAATATTACATAAATTCTAAACACCTAAAGCAATGAGCATTCTCCATGGGTCATTTAAACAGATTACAAAATGAGATTACTGCGAATTCTCTTAGCAGTGACAACCACTTAAATACAAAAAACGTTTCAGAAGAAACGTTTGAACCTTTGTTCTTCAAGGCAAAGTTTCAGCTTAACGTCTGTCAATCACTTTAAGAGGAAAATTTTTTACAGGCTTGGCCATATTATGAGTAAGGCCAGCACCACACGTTCATGCTAACAGTTCAATAAAGTTTAAACTCAGAGCTGTTTTTCCCCTCTAAACAAAATAAAAGTCGTAAAACCATAGATTTCGACTACTACTGTACTACACCCTAAAGAATTCCGCCAGTTTAGTAACGTAAGTTAATCCATCGTGAAACATAGAAGATAACAAAACCATAAAATCAAAATAACCATATAACTTGCGTGTAGTAAAAGTCCCAAAATAGGAATTAACATCTACACACACCGAACTGACATATTATGCAAGAGTTAAGGTATAGTTTACGAACCTTGGAGAACGGCAATGCACTTTGCTGCGGATCGGCTTAAAATTTACCTACTCCGATAACTAATAATTCCTTTACGTCTTACCAATATATTAAGTTACCTTACCACTTAATCTTGAAAAGATAAAGGTGGCTAATGTAAATGCCTTATTATTTGTTCAATATTGTATACCTATAATATATTCTGTGGCGAAATGAACGTGTCAATCTCCTATGATTACGAAGGACTTCAGTTCAGTGACAAACAGTTATTTTGGCTACAAGAGGAATTAAATCCAGCACACCACATAATATGCAAATAAACAGTTGACGGTTAAAAGTGCAAATAATTTAAAACCTTTTTGTCGTAAAAAGTATTTCTATTCCTTAGTTTCAGCCCGGACAACCGTCTTAAAATCAGAAAACATTACGACCGCTTTATCTCACATTCGTTGTAATCCTTAAAAAAAAAACAAGGCGGTATATAAAAATTAAAACAAATAACGGCGAGTAAAATAAAGCCCCCAATAACGTTCAATAAATACCCAAAGGCCATGGACACTTTTAGAGCACATTGTGGCAATTTTTCCAGTACGAAGAACAAACCACACAGTGAGCGGCTTCTTTGAATAATACAATACAACACTCTACGCAAAGAAAAGAGATTTTGTGAGTCGTGCGTGCCATGCCTTTTACCTACTTCAGTTTTGTTTGATCGGCATCGACAAAAAATACGCATCTGCAGTACGATTCTCGAGTTTGGCCAAATGGATGACAGTTCAGCCCTCTTAACTATTCCCTGAGGTTAACTCCGGCGAGTGCCAGGTTTTAGCATATGCTGTATAGTGCCCCCCCCTGCTGGGACAAACTAAGACAATGCATATGGATCAAGAGCATAGTGCTTTGAAAAACTGAAACTGTTTACCACATCTACATTTAGCTAAATTGTCAACACAGGTTAAATCCTGCACCGACTAACTCCCGATTAAAACTGAACTGTCAGAAAATTGACGTAATGAAAGACAAAACTTTTGGTCCCTCTTAAGCCTGGGAAAAGAGCTTCGATTCTGAAGAGAATTACGTTCACTTCTCTCATTTTGTTTCGGGGTGGGTCTTCTGAGCAAGGATACGAAAACCTTTATATTCCATCCCCCTGGACTACAAGAGTGGACCCATCCTGTACGATTTCAACATACGTCAATTTTTCACGACTCCTTTCCTCGACTGTCTCCAAGGTTCGTAACTAGCCCCTACTGCGGCTGCGCAGGATTAATGTCATTGAAAATTGAGAGATCAGCAAAATCCTCACCCATCGCGGCTGCCATGGCCGCCATATAACTAGAAGGTCCACCAGTCTGAAGGCCGCTCAGGAACACATTGCTCAATGCCAGCTCAGGCGCCAACTGTCCGTAGTCCCCGACAATTTCCTGGTTACCTAAACCGAGTTCTGTTCCATCCAGAACGGTAGAGCTGGCGACAGACTGGGGCGAGGGCGGGGAGGCAGGGGAACCTGGGTACAATGACATATCTGGAAAGCCATGAAATGGATACGAACTTGATGGCGGAGTTTCCTAGGCAACGACCAAAGAAATTACTACGGCAATTAGACTATGAAGGCAGTTATGAAAATTAAAGTTACTTAGCATTTTCAGTAACATAGACCCTTGTACATACAGCGGAGGCATCCGAAAGCAGTAACAGAAACAAGACGTTTAAACAGCATGCAGTCTTCAACAAAGCCAATCGCTATTATATGTATCTTATCACTTAACTCTAGTTTGGTTTAAACTGTAGTTGGACGAGTAAAAGTTTCATCATTTCGCTCTTTAATGAAGCTACAAAATACAACGTAACCAGCTGAAATACATCAAAAGACGCTTACCATGGAAGAGTCCCTTCCAGCCGGGTACATAGGACTCCTGCCGCCCTGTCTCCTAAGTGAAGATAAAAAACCCACAGATATTTAAGGCGCTTAGCAGTTTCTAATCTGATCTTTATATCAGCAGTATTTTGAAACTGTCAAGATCGACTCAAAAGAAGTCATTTAGTTCGTACATAAAAGTCAAAAGAGGGCGTGGATCACATTCAGGTCGGCCCTTAAAAAACACTGATTATTGCATCTTGTATGATCGTGTGACAACGTTAGTTTTGTCTATAGTTGTTTCTTGGACAACTGGAGGTACTGACGTCATCGTTAAACGAAAATAATAAAAAGATAACTTAAATATAGTGACTTGGCGTGGAAGTGTAATTATTTCAACCATTCTATACCACTAGAATACTCACCCTGCCAGCCTGACCGCCAGTACAGTTTGCTGATAATCATTATTATCAGTATCTTGGTTTTCTAAAAAACAACGCAAAGTAAGAAAGGGGACTCAGTTGAAATTTCTCATGATTTCATCAACTGCTGTTCGATTGCGTTCGTTTATTGAAAACGAAAGTTATTGTGTTCAGATGGATTTACGGGCACTTGTGGAAGTGAATTCCTTTCATTAAATAGCAATGACTATTTAAATGTTTGGGGTTTCTATAGGTGGTACAGAAACTGTAGTCTGTTGCCGGGCTTCACGTTTTGTGTTGTGGAGTGAGAACTGTTCAGATTTGTCGGGGAATATTCAGTCTTTTGGCAACGGCACCAACCGAAATAGCAAAGAAACTATCGATACTTGTTAAAATGATATATGAACATCATATGGTTGAACGGCTGAATAAGATAGTTAGTAAAAGAAACGTCACTGCAGTTTAAGACACAACTACTCCATAGGTATTTGCATATCATTTCAGGTAGACTATACAGTTGAGTTATAGTCCTGCTTACCGTCATTGGTATAATACGGACCAAAAGCGTCATCTTTAGCTATGTTAGGGTAAAGCTGAACAAGTTCTCCCAAGTCTTTTAGTCGGTCAGAGAATTTTCGCATTTGCAAATGCGCGTTCGTCCATGGAGCCACATCGAAAATTTCACAAGGACCTACACCATACAACAGAGAGGTACACCTATGAGGTTTATTTTACAATTTTTCTCCCGTAAAGGAATTATTATGGTATCTTCCCTCTCCAAGAAGTACTGAATTTCCACACTTTCCTTAAATTTGCCGCATACCGATAATACGGATGGTATGAACACTCGAGAAATTATTTCCTAAAAAAGAAATTGATTTTAAATATTAAGACACCTGTAAATCTCTACATGACTTAAACTCGTGTAAGAGATTGTACAGTCTTGACTTGTGGAATATACCTTATTAGTCAAAAGAAAAACTCCCCAATCCGTCTGTTCTGAGGTATACCGAAATATGTTTTTTTCCACTGAATTACTCCTTATGTACGACGCTGAAAGGTTACAGATAAAGTCTCGACCTCCGAAATTAAAAACCTGTCCCTTCCAAAAATCACTTCATAACTGGTGCATTTTTATGTCTCATATAAATCACTCGGAGAGTGAGGATAAAAGGAAATTGACCATGTTTAAAAATAAACAGCTCTCCCACACAAGCTTCATGAAATGTCAGAAACCGCAGTTTTCAGCTATGTCCTTTAAGTACCCGTTTACTTTGTATATAGTAGCTGGCTTTCTTACCACCGTCAAAGGTATTAACATAGGCGACACTAATTCCACCAATCTCTGTCTCACTGAACCTCAGCAGGAACGTGCCAGAATTACAGCCTCTTAAAATGTCATGCGCATCATTCTTGCTGATAAAACCAGCCACGCGTCTGTAACAAAAATCAGTAAAGTTCATTGCTGTAGTCTTCCTTTGTTTAATTTGTTCACATTTACATTTGAATCCATGCTAACATTTTCCTCAAAAGTCCAACAGAGCAAATGTTTAGCTAGTTCCATTGGTCCCCTGACCACAATGTTCAACAGGCATCCCACTCAGTGATTCAGCTCTCCCGCACAGTTCTACTATTATAATGTTCAAAGGTCGTTTTCTTGTACAGATTAGTAATAATAAATAATTCGAGAAAAAGTGGTTTTTCAAAAATCACGGTTGTGTTTGTACTTAAACAGAACTCTTGCGCCTATCTTCAAATGCAAACTAGAAAGGGAATGTGACTGACATACCCGTCCCTCCATTCGTCCAGCAGCCGTCTTGACACCACATCTAAGGCTCCGTAAAACCATTTCCAAAACGAGAATGAGCGGCCGTTCATATGATCCTGATGTACAGGAGGCATTGAGTTAAAAATTAACACAAGAAGACAGAACATCTATTTATTTATCTATTCTTATGGCTAATAAGTTCAACAATTCAAAACAAACATTTTATGATAACATACACTATAGATCTTGCCGAATTTAACTGTAAAATATTGAATATATGTACCCTGTTGAAGAGCTGTCTTGTAATCATGGCATTGTCCATACCTCCCTCCATTTTGCCTTTAAATAACAACAGAATTTAAAGGTCGATAATCTTAAAAACTGTAAAGGTCAGGTTCACAGCCCGTTTTCTACATGTTAACAAAGGAAATTCTCTGGATGAAAAGAAGTCGGAAACTAAACTTGAAAACATCTAGGAAAAAGTGTTAACCTGGAAAAATCTTTTTCCCCAAGAAGGTCAAGCTTTCAGGACTAAGTTGGATTTGATTGTTGAGAGCCCATCTTTTGTTCAGAGCTTCTGCAAAGCGGGGCCATTCAACTTGATCGGGAACATCAAAAAGTTTCCTTTCCTATGAAAAAACAATTATTCGTAGTTCATCCAGTTTTATTATGAACAGGATTTAAATAACACCTAATAAAATCATTTGCTCATTAGATTCTTCGCCACGAAGTTGTCAGCATTATCAATCACACAGACACTAAATTACGTGGGGGGCCCTAAGTAACTATGGTTACTAGCGATCTACGGAATGTCCAATGAATATTTCGTACCGGCATTATCCTTTTTTTAATTAGGTTTACCTTTGCGAGTTTCATCTGCCCATACCAATCCTACGCAACGGACTAAGACGCGCACTGACCTTTGGTTAGATCTGTGACCACTGCAGAATTTCTCACTTATTCATCTTTTTTTTTTATCCCTTCTGAACTAAATAGATAACTGACCTTGTCGGCGAATGCGTTGTCCCAGAAAACAGTTGCTTCAGCATCACACTGTTGATTGCCATGAACTGTCACAACCACAGGAACCGAAATCACCTTTGGACCACAAAACAATGAAAGCATTAAGTAAGCTGTACTAACCAATGGGGCAAAGTGCTCTGATCACATTTGTAGGACTTCTCTGTCCAAGTAGATCATGATGAAAAGGCAATGGATGGTATCTAAGCAACCAACTTCAACTGAAATATTCTAAACGCTTTTTAGTGTGTCCGGACAGCAATCACAAATCAAAAGGAAGTGAAATGGTTGTGAGGTAGAGAGGCTCGTAAATTACGACAAAGGAACGAGTAGTAGCTAGGGTCGTCTGTAAGGGTGGCCGTATCTCTTGATCTGCATTGTTGTCTGGTTTCACTGTGTTTAATGGTGCAGGGAAAAAAGTGCAAACTAGGTCGCTTTCAAACCCCTACCCTCCCTTTCTCAGCTCCACCTACCGTTATATTGAATATTTCCTTTCCGAGGTTGATCTGCGTGGAGAAGAGTAATGCTGACTTCTCTTCTGTCACTACTTCTTTGTTCTTACCGCCCTGTCTTGTGGCTTTGGCCAAGGACTAAAAGACACCATATAAAAACTGTTTGCAGACCGTAAATGAATAAGTAACATAAAAATATAACCAATATCATACGTCTGCATAACAACCACTCCAAACATACGAAACAAAGATCTTGGCAAGTTGCGACAATAATTTCCGGCGTATCAAAAAAAAAAAACAACAACCACAGAGAGGGCTTCTTTTTCTGTGATATTAAGTTTTAAACAATATCTTATTATGTTTAACGATCTCAGCACCTGACAGTTCATTAAGTCGACAAGTTCGGACAGTAACAACTATCGTTAAGAATAAAAGAATCCTATGAATTTATCACGAAATACATTTTTCAGAACCAACCGAGTTTCCGTTGTTGTTGTTGTTTTTTTTTTCCTTTTTTCCCTTTCGCACTCTATTCATATTAATTTTCCATGAGATTCCATGCCCAGTTTAGTTACCAATTATGATTGCTATTGCAGGATGCAATAGATGTATTTGTTCATCATGATTATAATCGTTACTGAATTTTTGATCATTTTTCTCACGATCCAGATTCACTATTACCTGTAGAGACATTCTTTCCATTGAAGACTACGACATTTCGACTGTTATACTAAAGCTCAGCACAGAATAGTCCAAATGATTTGATCCCCAACTAATTGTTTGATTCTACAACTGACAGTTACTCTGATTCGTGAGACACGTCGAAACATTCCGTAATAAGCTTACCAAGTTTTTGAATTCACCAATCAGCTTCCCTGTCACTTGATTGAATTCCAGTGTCTAAAAACAAGAAAGCCTTTGGTCTTCATTTAACCTTCACAAAAAATAAATCTTTCTGACAATTGATAGAGAGCAGCAAACGGTGTTCTGACCTTCTTGTTGTTCAAAACAGGACTGTTGTTTGATGATACACTGCTGCATGAGGGGAAAAAAAGCGTCAGTACTGCATAATATATTTTATCTCTTACTCGATTGCTGTACATACCCTTTTACCACAACCGCTGTTTTTTTTGACGCATTAACATTAAAAGAAGCCCAAAGTTTCAGATAGAGTTGTTAATAGTTGAGTTGTTCCAATTCAAGGCAATTATTGCTCGAACCATCTCACGTTACTTTCGACCTGACAAACAAGTAACATAAACCACCCATAAATTCTGACTACATCTGAAATGAAAACCACAGCTGCTAAAAGTCTCATACGTCAATCTCAGTAGTGTACTTTGAAATAGGCGTTGGCCTGGCAGTAAGACAGGTGTGCCCTTCCTTCCCACCCTATCCCTAAGGATATCTCTTTCACGGGAAAAAGATAAAGGAAAGGAAGATTTATATATGATATGAAATGCAAAAATCGTAAAGAACAAATTATAATCGAAGTTCAATAATAGTTTTTACCTCTTGCGATTCCCAACATTAAGACCTTGTGCTTGCTTTTCACTTCAAAACATAATACAAAAAGAAGTAAGCTGACATCTAATATAAAAAACTCGGATGGTTTAATTAAAAAAACCTTGTTGGTACTTACGAAATTAGTGTACAGGTAACCTCTGGTGGATGGGTTTGGATATTCAGTTTTCCACCAAGAAGATGCCTACATACATAACCATTACAAATTTGTATTAGCTGGTGCTTACTCCAAAAATTAAAGTGTACATCTTCAAAAACTTGTATGACACTCAAACATGAAGACTTCATGAACCATAACTTACCGAACCACAACTCCAAACTTTGTTTGAATCTTCAGGACTTGGGGAGGTTGTTTCTCTATGATAAATGTCCTACAAAGGAAAAAAAACATATTCAAGTAGTTGTGGAGAGGAACCCTAAATATGCCTCTGAGTGCACATCACTGCTTCTTTTACTTGAAATTTAATTGTGCATTTTTACAGAATTAAGAAGGACAGAATGCTAAACATACAGATTGAACAATCAGGAGGACTTACTTAGTCAAGAACAGTTTCATGAGGTTTCTTGCAGATGTTTTAACATTATCCATTCGCTTCAGTTCTAATTCATTCCCCTGAAATGCTTGATGGAAAAGATTGTCCAGCTACAAGAAAAAAAAAACCTGTACATGTACATGTATAACATAATAGCAGCAAGGTAGCTAGACACAAGGCATCAGAACTTTAAAATTATGTGGCTTAGTGCCCTTATCCTCAATATAATAAATAATATATTTTTGTAGAGTTAACCTTTATTCTGCTGAAAATTATTGGACAAAGCATACATCATATCATTCTCCTGGGTCACTATTAGTACTCTACACTTCTTTAAGATGCAATTGGGCAATCCTAAGCAAGTTCATATCAACCAGCTGCCTGGTTTACCCCAGGTCCCCAATAAATCACTGGGAAATACTTTTCAGCAAAGAGCAAAAAATGCACAGTCCTCTAGACTAACCTGAGAAGCTTGTTGAAACAATTTCCACAGAAGTTCAGCAAGTGTTTCACAACTATCAAAGGAAAATTAGTGAAGAGCTTTTCAATTCAAGTTACCTAATATCTATACACTCTTTACTATTTCAAAATCATTCAAAACACTGAACAGAAATTACAAATAATACATTATGTATTTTGTGGTGGGTCTTCCTTAACTTCATTTTGCTCTTAATGAAATAACACATTCATAAAAAGATATTTTTACAAGAAAGCTGAAGTTAATGCAAAAACAGAAAAATGCTTTATTAGGTACCAAGCGTGAAACTTTAAAAAGATAAATGATGACTTATTAACCAGATGGAAAAAGATAAGAGTAACTTATTGAACTGGTTGACAGTAAAATTGTTGTGTGCTGAGATTATGTCAATATGAGGCTTATGAAATAATCAATGTAAATAAAGTTTTTTGTAAAATAATGGCTCAAGACATACAATGTAAAAGATTAGAGAGGGCAAAGTTTCCTAATGAGCTAATGCCAACAGCTGTGCACAACAAGAGCTGGAATAAGAATGAAGTCTGAAAAACATGAACTCCTACACTAAATTAGCATTAAGTATCACACAGCATAAATAACACCATCATACATTTCTTGTAGTTTGTCAAGTGACTGTGGAGACTTAAAACCACACAGGGATCTCTGCTGTAAATGTCTCCACTCAGCAATCTCATCAAAATTAGTCTTTACTATTTCAGATAACTTCTTCAGATGAGTGCAGAGGCATTCAATGAAGCCCTGGAAACCAAAAGGAAGTTAAATAGCAAAAGAGCAACAAATCAGTACATGTCCTAACATATTCATCACACTTTATGCTATATAAACTAAATCTATAAAGCGTATTCAAGGTAATGACATAATGTGTTAGACAACATTGCACATTCAATTTGGTGTTTGGCTGCATACATGTGTAAAATAACAAAGCAATTCACACTTGATTTTACTGGTACAGCTGGTAGCTCATTGCCCCAAGAACATGCAGGTTTGAAACATTTTGATGGAAGATTTCTGTTTCATTTTGTTATTTATTTTTTGAAGGTAAATTTTGATGTTAGTTTTTGTATATTTGCAGCCACATTGTACTCTGCTGTAAAAAAAAGGAGTCATGAAAAATGTGTCAAACACAAGTCTATAGGGCAACGCATCTGATCATGGTCCTTGAACTGGGAAATGACAATAAAAATGATTCAAAGAGCTACATATTTATTTAATACAATGGTATTGGAAAAAGGTTAGCTGTGACACATGTAAATTACTAGATCATCTTTTTTTTAGTACATAGTATGTAGGTTAGCTTCCAAAATAAACTATTATAGAAAGGCCCTGATTGTAAAAACCTGTAATGTCCAGTCTGAATGACAACTTATTTTAATAGAAGTCAATAAGTATCTGGAAATACCAGTCTTTTGGTGATTGACAATTCTTCCCCCATCTTGCTTAATTCTTGTTGAATTTTTTCTATCTCTTGCTTGATGTGTTCTATCCTTTGTTTCTGGAAATTAAAACAAATCAATAAAAATAGAAAAGGGGGGGGAGAGATTCACTCCTGGGTTTTAAATTTTTGGATACTTAAAGAATATACTTTCTTTGTTTCAATGACTACATATACGTATATTGTTTGATATGGAGAATTACACTCTGGCTTTTCAAGACAAGTACATTTTGCACTAATACTTCACCTACATTGTAGCTCAAATGAAAAACAGTACAATTACTACTATCACAGGTAATCTGGGGTAAAATAGTTTTCTCAAGTAAGAACAGATGCGACCATTTTCTATTAACTAATTAAGAACACTCTTTTTCAAAATCAAAACTTAGTCCCTCAAACTAATTTTTACTGTTTATGCCCAAAACTTTCAGATTGAAGTGTCCCATGTAAAGAGTCTTTTTTCATGTTTTTGCCTGACTGCACTCAAACTGTTGTTGCTTCATGACCATCTTGATAAAGATACAGGTTATCTTTGTTTACTCTTAAGGGTAAGAACCACAAGTGACACTTTTTTAAGGTTCAGGATTCAATGCATTAACATGAAATAGTCATTAAAGTATCATAACCCACCTTTTCATTTTCATTGAGTTGTGAAGAGTTTTGTACCTTTTGGGCTTCCTGTTGATCTACAAAACAAACAAACTATGACAATTATACTCCACAATACAAAAGCATCAACTTAATAATGAAAATTTACTTTAAGTACAGAAAAAACAGTGTCAAATGTATGAGTAATCATAGCAGATTACCACCAGATTTCAGGATTTGTACCAAGTTTATAAAAAAAGTCATAAATGTCTTACTTATGTCATAGCTAATGTTTACAGTTTACATAAGAATAATTATACTAGATTCTGATTTAATTCTGTTCTTGTAAAGCATACTCAGAAAGTGAGATGGAGACACAGGTCAAAATGTTATCAGTATATTAACTAAAGGAAAGTTGAACTGTCATATTTTCTTCCAAATCAATTATCTTTCCAAAGCAATACAACAGTAATTGCAAATACAAAACAAGTAATTTCTGGTTATTTTTGTGCAGCACCTATATTGTATATTCAGACTTCAGTGGTATGCACCATTGTCATGGCCCATTTTTCAAGATTTCATTTTAAAAGAAACACTTTTTTTTCCAACACAGATTGTAAGTCAGGGTAAATTATCAACTGGCTATGGTTTAAATTGTATTCAAGTTGGAGTGTAATTACTCACTGTAATCCCTATAATTGGGAAAAAAACTGGATATTTCTAATCATATTCGATGACATAGAAGTTGCTTTTAATGGTTAAATTGAAAAAATGGTAACCATGCAGTAAGACAGAAGCAGTGCACTTACATTTATCTATTTTCCCACTCACTTCCTGGAACTTTATCACATACTGTTCTTTTAGCTGCTCAATTTCTTTCAAGAAGGTATCATTTTTCTGAAGTAAATGGTCACATATTCAAGTTAACCTTAATCTATATATATCTATGTATCTTTAGCACTGCACAAACTAAGAAAAATTGCCCTGAAGTAGGTGCAAAATCTAAAATATATTTTTAATAGACACTTGACAAACATTTATTGAACAGTTTTGACCACAAATGTAAGGTATTATAGAGTACAACAGTCTAGGTAAATAATAATCTAGATGAAAGTGGGTACTTGTTAAAAAAAAGTCATTGATGTTTCATCATTGGTCAATGAAGTCAAGGCTCTAATGATGTCAAGAAGTAAGCCAATGTTTAAATTCACAAGTGAAAAAATTATTCACCTCCCACACAAACACCTCATAGCAGTGCCCTTATTGGCACAAGTTCAGTTCTTTTTCTTATCGAATATTGTACAAAAATGTAAACAAGTAAAAATACTATATTCATTCAGTCACAAGAGGGCATTTAAAAAAACACCTTTAAGCAGACAGTGTTAAAAATTGAAGAGAGTGTAATACCTGACTATCCTTGACAAGAACATCCAGTTGCTTGCGCAGAGCAACATGTGGGTCTGGAGCACTTTCTTCAGTATCCATGTCCTCCATATCTATCGTTGTTGTTGATTCCAATGAAATCTTAAGGTTTGAACAACAAAGAGAAGACCACATTAAAGACTTAAAACAACTGAAAACCTAAAATTTATTAAAAGACATTATGAGTTTGTGATCAAAATTTCTTTGCACAAAAGTATTCAATATAACAGTTCCCTCTTATCTGCCAAAAAAATTTAGTCCCTTATGAAAAAATATAAAGCACATTGAAAATAGGTACCACAGCCAACTGGGAAAGAGGTCAATCTCACAAGGTACCACCAGATGAACCCTAGGTCGTTACAAAGAAATTTGCACAAGCACACCTCTTCCTGCTATGTGATGTTACATTTGTTATCACAACTACAACTGGAACAGAATAGATTGCTTGTTCTGAAATTACTAAAAAATATTGCTACAAACAACTATACATATTCATGGTTCCTCAGCTTTCAAAACCATTGCTGTACCAAAAGGGCTTCATGCACTGTACATGACTTTATGTTTATATATATACTTACAGAAACTGCATTCTGGACCAATTCTCTCAGTTTAGAAACAACCCCATAAAAATACTGAGCAAGCTTCACTGGATCATTACCATAGCTCTCCTAACAAAGAAAATGTAAAGGTGCAGAGTTTCATAAGGTTCATGTAAGATAGTGAGCTACTTTACAGTACAAGGATTAATATAGACTAATTGGTGTTTTGTTTAAGTCGGCAATAATGCAAAATATTTAGTGCTAAACCTCCTGTAAGTACATGAAACTAGGAGCAATAAGGACTAAATGTAATTTATTTCATCTCAAGCATAAAGAGCAAACACTGACTGTTTAAGGCTATGCATGGATTATTCCTATTTGACAAGAAACGATGGAATCTATTGACTGTCAGCTGCATCATGAACTGGTCAAATATGTAATGTAGTGGTCAAAATATAAGTGTAAACGGAGAAATCAACATGGGTGTATAAACAAAAGGAAGGGATTGCAGCAAATAAAATTACAATGAGTTGGTAACTCACTATCAACTTACCTCTATTTTATGTAGCACCTCCTCAACTTTCTTTGCTATTAACATGTTGTGGAAATCATTCATAGTTGCAGCTAGACCCTCCAGCTGTAGACCAACACAAATTTTGCACAAATTAGTGTCAGAGCAAGTGATCAGAGCTACATAACTCAAAGTTAATTGCCAATCATTTCACACTGTTCTGTATGTCTACCTTTTGTTTATGTTGATTCAGGTGGGATATGGTAGCATCCATTAACTGTTTAGCTTTTATTACACTTGATCCCTGAAGATTTGGGTCGATTGCCTCATCCCTGGAGGCAAAAAAAGAGATAAACTTAAAATTTTCTTGAAAACAAGTTTTAAGTAATCAAAGCTACACAGATTGATGAAGAAGGATAGTTTCAATAAAAGTACAGTAGAAAAATACATGTCATACAACCCCTTAAAATCCACACAAACGTATGGGGTTCTAAAAATACTAAACAACATGCTCAAAAAGAAAAATCCAGGTTAGATCTGACCATAATGCAAAGTCATGGGGATGCATACCCTGTTTTGTTTTGATGTTTTCTCCAAACCTTAATTTATGGATATCATTTTGGTAACGGCTTCAAATACCCCTCTTCCTGTTTCCTTTTTCTTTTGACTCCCTGCAGATTGCGTTTGTTTGTTTGTTTGTTTGTTTGTTTTTTTCGAATTCAGATACTCTGTTCCTGATTGTTGCTACAATGCTTATCATAGTGAAACACATTAGACTGCAAAAAAGACATAATTTCGATATTAAAATCAGCCCACAACAAGGGACTGTAGCAACGACTCTAAAGAACTCTGCATATCAGCACAAAATGACATGGGGAGGAGAACAACCTAAAACAGAAATCCTAACTAAATTGGGAAATTGATCTGATCTAACACTGCCTCAACAGCTTGACAAGTTGCTTCCTTTCAGAAGATAAAGCAAAAAAAGTGTAAAAATTTGGAAATGTCAGTTTCTGTAGGAAAAAGTAAAACAAATAAAACAGGAGTCTCCAGGAAATCATCATTGAACAAATTAGAGGTGAGTGGATGACATGGAAACGTCATGTGGTGAGCGGGAGGGGGAAATGTAAAGGGAACTTTCAGGATTTTTGTACAACAACATCACAGATAGTAGAAACAGCAGATATTCACGTGACGTCATTCAACTTACCAAGGCTGAAGAACCAACCACTGCATCAAGTAAATGCACGCCTCGAATTCAAACGATCCGCCAAAAATGGTTTGAAGCTCTGTAAGGATCTTCGTTTTTACATGAGCTTCTAGGTTCTGAAAAGTATCCCAAAACGACATAGCTTGTTAATAAGTGATCCAGGGATGAAATTCTCTTAAAATATGCCCCTCGGAGTCACCCACTACCACGAAATATGAAATTTGAAGGGTGACTTAAACAGGTAAAGCTGCCGGTGCGTTTCTCATTGAGCCTTTCCACCTCCAGAGGTAAACACTTCTGATCGATTTCAACGCGGCCTTTCGGTTTTATATCTGTAGACGCCGATCGTCTTTCCGAGAAATGACAAACTTCCTGTTTTCGCCGAATTATTCAACCGAGGTTACATTTCACGCACTCGGTCATACTTCGGTTATCATTCGGACACTCTCGCTACCAACGAGAAATTCGCTTACGTGACATCGTAAACTCGGAAAAACCGGAAATAAGTATGTTTTTCACTCAAAACGCCATTATGGCCTTTCTCGAACGTTGTTTGCAATAAAGCCATGCAAATAAACCCACCAAAGCTCAAAAAATATGCCAAAAAATTCATAAAATCAGCTTTTTTAATCATTTTCTTAAAATTCACGATTCATGCTTACCTCCAAGAAGTTGAGAATCCTTGGATGCCCAAATTTCTAAGAACCACGTTAGTCGTGGAAAATCCGGAAGAATAAATCATTTGCATAAGGCCGTGAAAAAACATCAAAGGATTCTAACACTTAAAGGTCATTCTTAGAAGAAACGGAAGGATAAGAACGTTTTCGAATTATGAAATAAACAAACGATTCAGTGTATCAAAGAATTCTGAGAATATAATAATAAGTAACCTTGACATAACATATAATTTAGTCAGCAAACTTGAAGAGTCATTGCATTTCGTCCCTGATTGTTAAGATTTGGGCTTAAAGTAAAGCTTGAAAAGTGGAAAAAAATTTAAATAGACAAGTTTCTTTTGCACTTGATAGTAGATTTAGCCGCGCGTAAGCCGCGAGGACTTGTTGAGATCAAAATGGTAACTCACCCGTTTCTACGAAGTCGGTGTTGTCTTCCTATTTTTCTATGAAATAAAAAAAAGGATAAATCTTAGTTGGACGCTCGGTAAATAAGACAGAGATAGCTTATATTATACACCTGATAGGGTTAACAGAGTTACGACGGAAGTTAAACTTACTTCCGAGTTACAGAGCAAGACCCTCCGAGTCTGTCCTTGAGTACCGATCGACCGTGCAGAGAAACATACTCATCTCGGTTGGTGTTTTTAAAGCAAGAGTGATTAACGGCTGTTGGCTACTCTGACAAAGAAAAAATGCCATTAAGTCTACGATAAAGTTGAAGGTATTTACAACATGCTTTAGAGAACTTAAACGAGCGTAATCTAAGGTACAATGAGAAGCTGGAAGCTGAAGAAATCAGGATCGCTATGGTTTGCGAGTGTTACGATAATCTGAAGGACTTGAATTCAGAGCAACTAAGCTCGTTTATTTGAGTGAGTTTTAACGATATATTTTAGAATGAAACGTTTCTGATATTAACAACCATTTTTGTATAGTATTTTTGGGGACCTCGTAACGCCCTTGTCAGCTGAAAGCGGGAGTACGCGTTTATGGAGGTAGGTTTAGATCCGCCTGAGCACATTCTCCATTTTGTGTGCAATGTTATAAATTATGAGATGTGAACGTGCGATATTTTGTGATATGTGAGGCAGCCTGTTGGACTCGAAACGTTTCTCTTATTCAGGCAATTTGGATGGACCTCCAAGAATCGAAAATTTAAAATAGTTTCAAGGATTGAGTTGGCAGAAAGGGACTCAGCCGAAAAACAATAATTGTTTTGGTTATCAGGGAACTGAAATGTTTCACTATGTCATTCAATTGCATGCTAGACACATAAAATCGATCAATTGATCGATCAAAAGGGGCAAACGGAACAGTTGTCGAATGAGGAAAAGAGTCTTTTCATTGTTTGAACCTCTTATTAGAACATACTCGCATTACCTTGAGAAAATGGGACTTGTTCATCAATCTACTTACAAAGTAGAGTGAAACGACATATAGGGGTGCTGGACTGAATTGAAGTACTTGACATCGTCAACTCAACAAGGCATATGGAGCGGTCTTCAATCTGACATCTTTTTTTTCTTCCAAATTTGCGAAGCATACACGAATTAAACTCAATTGTACGATGCAAAAGCGAAAGATACTGAGTAAACTCGCGAAAGCTATGTAATATTGAATCCGTTTCAAGTTATATTTACTCGTGGTAGTTCAATGGAGGGTTAACAGAGAGCGTTATTAGTCTATCAGTGAATGCAACTAAAACTCAGAACTCTGCGATACCATGAGTTGTTTTCAGGTTTGTGTAACGAGCCGATTTAAAAGAAGCAACCTTATGAACGGACTTAAAAACTTTCTCACGATAAATATCGCTACACACACGGTAGAGTAACCTCTGATCAGCTCACCTTAATCTTTGCAATTCAAAATAACTTAATTCGGTATGAAAACTGAGCCACAAACCATGCAGCTCTACTTGAAAAAGTGAAAGTAGCCTTCTGATTCGGTGATTCTAACAGCGCTTCTTGATTTTATTTTATCAGCCTTATTTCATTGACTATGGTTTTTGAATATTCTGAGAAACGACTGTGAGTTTAAACACAACATAATATCTTGTGATTGGTTGAAGTCTACAAATGATACTATTTCTTGATGTCTCGCTTCTCTCTCCTTGTCCTGCAGTTTTTAAAAGCTTTTTCTTTCATAGAACTAACATGGACTTACACCTTCATTTCACTTAAGTTCAATATGAATGAAACTGAAAATCGAACGTGTTGTGGGCAATTAACTGACAAACTATAACTATACAATCTACAGAATTAATTAGTTCGACTCAGGGAAGAATTACTTCAAAAAAAAAAAGAGCCGTCTAACAAAATCCACACTGAACACTGAAAAAGTTGATGAGGAATTCAATTGAGCTAAACGGAGAGAGGTTTTTCAAACAGATTTATAATGGACTTTATCCTGATCCGCCATCTTGGAAGGAGAAGTGCGTGAAATTCCGGTAGCCAAACTCTGTCCTCCACGTTTTAAAAAAAGAATTATTCCTATCAGTCATTTCCACGATGCAAAAATAGCTGGTTAAAATAAGTTACAGCGTTTCGCCATTCGATACACGGAGATTTAAGGAAGCCTTCAGTGTTCTAGCATGTTGTGGATTTGGCCGACCTTACCTTCAGGCCGAAAAACTTGAAGAATACAATCAAGGGCAGAATCCTAGGTAACTAACTCACAAGTAACCTAGTATAACACTTTTAACCGCAGTAACATGTAAATGGTATCGACCCATGCTTATCGAAATGATCTATTTCTCTGCCTGTAAATGTCTCTACCGCCAGAGAGGTTATCCTGATGATATCATGGAAAACATTTATACAAAGAACATTTTGGGTTTGTTATTAGATTCCTCTGATGAATTTTGTCCCAGCTGAAACAGGACAAACTGTCGAACTTTTTTTCCCAGTTTCATCAAGCCGTCATTTTCTTTTTTTTTGTTGGTTGGTTGGTAGTGTGACGAACAGGGATTTAGACGAGAGACATATCCAGCACTAAGCATCACTCATCTACAATTGTTTATATCAGCCTTCAATAGGAGAGAAACGTAAGGAACAAAAGATTAACTGATAGACTCTGGATAGAGTATGATACCAGCCAGCCCAGCTCACTATGGACGAAAAGTAACTGAAGTAGAATAAGATAATTAATCGAACAGATATCAAGAAACTTGGAAATACCAATAAGAGAGTGGAATCTTCAATTATCTTCAATGTTGTGGTATTCATGTCCGACTTCTGATTACTGTATTCCTGACTGAGTCAAGTGAAGTTTCTCAGAAACTTTTCTCTGTCATCATCTATTTCTGATTAATAAGAATATTTTAGCTGAGCACAGGGATTAAGACAGAAAGTATAATGGCAAAAGATGAAACCAAAATTTGAGCTGAGACTTTCTGAACACATGATTAAAGAAGAAAACAGCTAATTGATTTACAAGCACTCTTTCCTTCCTTTGCACTTCTGAGGAAAGGACTTCTTAAAATACTCGATTTTAAAGATTCTAAGAAATGTCTGAAGGAAATCGTAATTTTGAACCGGAATAAGTGCCTGGAAACAAATTACTTAGTAAAACAGGTAGTATATTGACAATTATATTTCCTTTAGGAACTTTAGTAGGGAGGATATTCATTAAGTACAGCACTGAGCTTAAATGTAAGCAAGCCTGGCCAGCGATTATCTAAGTGAGTCATTATAGATCGAGTCCTCAGTATAACTGGAATGAACAGAATTCTGTTTTCATTATCACGACGACTTGCTATGCATTTCCTTGCTGATAAAAGCTGTGTTCTTTGTAGTCGAATATAGTGCGTGAGTATTCCTTCTCGAATTTATATTATATAAACTTACACAATCAATAAAGAAGTAGCACGACCAAAAGAACATGTTCCAATTTCAATAAAATATTACAGGAAACCACTGCATTCATAACAGGTGAACTATCTTAAATTTCTCATCTAGGATAAGTGGTTGAAAGTCGATCATTTCAATCAAGATACAGAATGAAAGTATCGATGACATTAATTACTTTTTTCAGTCCGGTTGATCATCACCTTCTCTCTTGCAGCAGTGATTTTTAATTGTATTTCTTGTGCACATTATCTTTTTGGCCTCGTGTAGAAGAGGATACTTGGAATGAAAGCATTGTGACTCTCTCTAGTGTCGCTTTTAATACTTATGTCTCTTACTCAACGAAACGTTTTACATGATCTCTACCTACTCATTATCATTATTATCATAAACATCATCATCATCATCATTATCATCATGGGGTATGTTTTAATCATTATTACTTCCCCTATTCTTTGAAATTAATAACAATTGAGGTGACTTAAACATACGTTATAACTTACTGACTTCCTTACTAACTCAATATGATGTTCATTATAAAAAATTTTTGCTTTAGAAAACACTGTAAAAGCATCCCTCTAACTTCTAAAATTTTTAAAACGTAAATAGCAGAATAATATATAAGCCCATCTAGTCTGATAATAAACCTACAGACTGTCCAAACACGCAATAACTGTGCTACCACGTGATAGTAGCTGTCTCCGCTTGAAGTTCATTCGTGTTTCTAGTAGTTGTAAGGAAAAACGGGAACTTGAAGATATCTTTTCTGTTCTGAAATATTTGGACTAGCAGGTGACTGTGATCCCTTTCAAACTACTGAGCTACTGAGCTCTTATTTGCTTTCCTGACCATATCACAATCAGTCATTTGTTTATCACTAACTGGCGATTGACTTTTATTCTCTTGTCCAGAGGTTCTTTCAGTTCCCAAGTTGTGCATCGTAGTATAAGTGGTAACGTTTAATTTATAGTGAGAATGATAATTCTCTGTGTAGAAACGTGTAGCAGCATTAAGAACTCTCTCTAGTTTTTGCACATCGCACTTGCCTGCATAACGTGGCTCCCAAATAGATCTTGTTGCATAATCAAGTTTGGGCCTAATCGTGTAGTGCCTTCTCCAATAAGTGCGATCTATTGTGGTCCCTGTATTTTGATGTTAGCTAATGGACAAGAAATTATGTCTCTTGCAAATAGATCTATTCATTAATTTCTTTAAAGGTCCCAGGACTCTTATCAGTACTGGCTTCAGCCGAGCGGATCTCGTCCCGCTCACTCTTTCGATATGGATTTCAAGGTCTTCATGTTTACAACAGATTTTCACTTATTTTCGATACGGTTTTCCTTTGGAATTTTCTTTGGAATGGAGACATTGATGAGTAGGCAGCTTTATTTGTTCTTCATTCTTGATGACACTATCTAGTCTGTTGGCCCATTTCTCACGGTCTGCTCTATTTGCACATCCAAAAGATTGTAATGTTTGTAATTGTAATGATTGTAACTAACACTGCTCAGCTCATAACGTTTTTTCTTTTGCGTGGAAAGCCATTGGTTTGTCATATCCTAATCAGTGTCTCTGTCACCATTTTTTTTGGTATACCCGTGTGTTTCTTTCTCTTCCCATTTTACCTGATTTATTCTTGGATGCAAAGTTTTGTTTTTCATTCAACTCTCTGAACTTTAATGGTGGGCCTTTTTTTCCTAAGATACAGTGTTTCGGAGAGATTTCGGTCGCATTTTATCGTTGCTGTTAAGTTAGATGTGAAGTATTGTATCTTTTGCTTCTGGTGTTCTCTGACAATCCTTGGAGGGAGGAATTTTTATTCCTAAGACAACTCTCTAGTCCTATCGTCGCTATTTAATAGACAGTTTCTAGTTGAATTACGGACCCTAGTTATCTCCGTCTCTGAGGAGATACAAATTTTCCAGATCTGGTCTAAGCTGGTGCATCCCTTTAAAAACAGATTTGAAGATTGTCATTTCTTTCCACTTCTTTACTGTTCTCCTTTCGTTTCTAATAAACGTTGCCAAAGCGATGAGCTGTGACTGTCAGAGCATGCGGCTGCCAATCGCTTCCATTCGTTCGCCTGAATTGAATTCAGACTTTTTCCAGTTTGTTCTTGTATCCTTATTCTTCTTTAACACTTCTGGTCTTTTCTTTCCATGTGGCATGTTATATTCCCTCCTCTTTATTCGCTCCCAGGTTTTTGAAAGTGTCCGGCTCCTTTCTCAAAGCATTGGTCTTTTGTCTTTTTTTTCAACTAAGCTTTGGCGTATTTCTTTTAACTAAAAATTATTTCTCTTCATAAGTAGAGTTTTTTATAATGCTCGAGAGGCAAAAGCGTTTAGATAGCATAAGTATGAGGGTCGTCCTTGTTAAACAGATGGTCAACTGTAGGTGACTCTGTAGTGCAACCAAAGCTTGTGTTGTTCAGAAGAAAGGATAGTAGAGGAAGGGCTATGTAGAGGAGGCGAGGAGCGAGAAAACGTTGCGTGAAAATATCCCGTTGTTGGTGTTTATCTGCCTTAACTGCAAACTCTCACCTGCTTTATATTGTTCCATATTTGCTGTTACGAACTAGCCGAAGCTTTGTAATATCTGTTTGTACAAACTGTCAATCTTAGGCCTTTGTAAGTCATGATAAATTGAGTTTAGCTGTAAAAGACTGTGAATTTGACAGATTGTCCTCGACTCAGTTTGCCATGACGCGCATGTTCACTTTACGGAGGAGTTGGATACAACCTGTGAATTTACCCAAAAGTAGTAGCCGTTTATAATCTAGATTGTCACAGTGAGGTTCCACACCAGGTTCGAAAAACCACCTTCATTCAATGTTACGCGCTGAACAGCGGCTCTGAAAACGAAATTAAGGCTGATTTCTTTGCTTACTTTTGTTCCCACATCAAGCCTTATTTCGGAAGAACATCTTCCGCTAAGCTCCGAAATGCAAAAAATAGCAAAATAGCAATAGGGGTAGTATTATAAGTAACGTAAACATTGTTGTTATCGTGATTATTATAAGTGTTTTACGTATTGTTAGTACTGGGCTGTTGTATGTAAAAATTAATAAAGACAATTGTTAACCAAAAAAAAAGAAAAAACATTTTCCGCGCACACTTCATTGGTCTCTCCACTGAACAGGATCGAGAACCAGACGGACCATATTGTCACATTGTACATCGTCTAAGTTAAGGAGTTCATTATCAGGTCTAAGAGCAGAGAGTAAGACCAATGTTGCTGAACTGACAGGGTCTAAAAACTTTTGAAAAGCGTGCAGAGTGCGTTTCCTTTCCGTTCAAATGTCAGTAAGGCGTTTCCCTTTCCCTTTCTCTTTAAAGCACGCAGGACCAAAGGAGAAAGAAAAGACTCCCTTGTTCTAATCGTAACTCAACTACATTTAAAGGTTACTCAACAATTCCTAAATCAAAAGGATAACATTACTATCATAATCCATCGAATATTTTCATTCGGTGGCGATGAGTTTAAACGCATCACGTGATCTAGTATGCCCAGAACCGGGTTGATATTCGCCAAGTGATATTCCCAATTTTTTTATTTCAACACTTGTGTCCAATGCGATTAAAGTCTTCCCTCAAAAGTCGATTCAAGTCAGGAAAGTGGTTTTGTTGTTATTATGGAAGAATAGACAAATTTGTTCGTTCATAAAATCCCACTAAAAATTCAAATCTGAGGACAAATATCCCAGGACAAATATCCCAGGACAAATATCCCAGGACAAATATCCGAGTATGATTTCGCGCCAAATGGAGGATATTGTTTACATATCTCCATGGCCGTAGTAACCTCGAAAGTGAACTTCGAATTTATTTTCGAACTGGATTTTACTTCACGATGTCGAAAATTCCTTTCGACAACCACTTTTCAGACTTAGATCCACAATTTTTGGAGATTCGGCAATGATAATTATTTCTCGAAATTTTCCTCGCCAATTGATTGGTTACCATATGTTCTTATTTGTGGAGCTACTACGTGTTCTGAAGTTCTGCCTCAATGGTTTTTAAGTGTCAAGTTATCAGTACCGCAGAGCCTTATCCCAGACAAATAAAGAAGGACGCCACGCAAGGCTCCATTTGCGTAGCTAGCTATTTCTTCGCCATTCGAAGCATTTTCAGAGAGCGCGCCAGAAAAGCTCTGATTGGATATATTACGATGAGGAGTATACGACGTAGTACGTGAAAGTGAACAAAAAGAAGGTTTACAATGATGAAGAACATGGCGGTACGCCGAGTGGTTCATAACGAAACTTCTGATGCTCTAAAGTATTGAAAAGGCTGATCAGGAGACCCCCTGAGAAACGACAGTGGTAGCTGTCTCTAGTAATAGGAGAGCAAATATAAAGGCATGGACGTGCAAGGGACTCTGTATTTTTTCGGTGGTGAGTGGACGATGAAACGCAAATTAAAAAAGGGAAATGTTTAAAACGTCCAAGCTTACTCTAAACGACCTTAAGTTAATTCAGCTTTTGATTTAGATTCTAGTTCATCGAATCCTTTTATAGTTTTGGTGGCAATTAAAAGTGCTCTTGATTTTATTTCCACTGATGGTTTTGAATAATCAAGCAGCTAAAAGCAACCTCGCACATAAGCTTACAGCAAGATGTTTAAATCTGCAGTTGACCAATGAAAAAACAACAATTCAGTATTACACTTACACAAAAAAATTAATGCAAAAAAGTTTACCTTTACTTATCCTGGTGAATAGAAGATGAAGTAAGATTGTCTCACGCTGTAGTCACTTTTGAAGTAAATCATGACAGTCAAACTTACTACTGCAAGTCTCCTTCAGGCACTAAGGCTGACTGGGTCAACTGGGTACGGCTTTTAATAAGTAATACCATAGCTTTCCTTTACCTTTCTTTAGTTTACTAGAGCAGCGAATCGTAACAAGTTCCATGGTGAAAGCCTCAAGAAAGTTTATTGAATAGAATTTTATTAACTAAAGGATTTTTAATGTTTCTGTTAAAAAAAAAACAGGAAAATGTATTACTAATACACAGTATAGGTAATTACTATCATCATAATAATATAACATGGGTGTGAGTAATAAAGAGGCTTATTTCATGTGTGTTTGCTCTGTGGGCCTATAATATGATGCCCATTGCCCATCTGAGGAAAGGCCATTATAATGTTTTTTTAAGTTAATTTCACGTTAGAATGTTGTTGAGACATAAGAAACTGGCTGTTAGTGAGAGGTGTAGGTGTATTTGTATTTGTACTAGAAAGGTGTCTGTGATTAGGGAACAGCGATAGTATGTTTTTCACATAACCGATGTTTTGTGTGTTTAAATGCATCAGAAACCAGAACCATGTCATTAGGGATGAGATCTTTCACACTTACATGTACATGACATTGTGTAACTAGATAAACCCATTGTTTTTTTCCTTGTGAATGAAACTATGCTATGATTTTCCCTTTATTTAATTTTGTTTGTTTTTTATTTTGATAGAATACTATAATTTCCCCAAAACAACACATTTACAATGGGTGTAGCTCCTAGACCTCTTACAGTAGGGAATTTACATCAAAGTATACAGTGCTCCTTCTAAACAAATTGCTAAACCTTCTCATATTTCTCAAAATGGAAAGGTAGGGAACTTTAGGATATGAAAAGGACAGAGGCTGTCAAGGCTTAGGTTATAAGGAATTTGACATTTTGGGAAACCACTCTGCTGGCTTTTGCAACAGTTTCGATTTCACTTATTTTTGTCATTTACCTCATTCACCATGTGAGTCATAAAAATCATGTATCTTATTTACACAGTCATGTAGTTGTAGGATTATTTACTAGCATCTAAAAATGTAAATATCTGAGCCTCTAAGAAGCAACCAAGAATTCCCCTTAAAGCATTGCAATGTTTTGCCTCACAATTGTAACAAATAGAATTAAAAGATTTGCTTGTAAGCTGTATGTTCATAAAGTTCTGTTTCCTTTGCAGAAATGTGGTATCAGATCTTTCTTTGGTGTTTGGCAACATCAGTGTTCATCCATTGTATTTCGGCTGCTGTTGCTTTCTTTGCTATGAGGCAACATTCACGAGGAATGCTTTTTCCTCTCCTCATAATATTCATTGGATTTCTTTACCCAGTCACTGGAGGAATAGTAACAAGTGAGTTTTGATTTTTGCCTAATTTACAAAAGAGGCCAGAAAGATTCTGGAATCCCATCATTTCTACTTGGCACATAAAATGTCTTTCAGTGACACTGGTTATTTAACTGTATTTATAGTTGTTTATCTTAAGACAGTACCTGAGAAAATGTTTATCAGTAGAAGTTGATGAATCAATTTAATTTTGATATTATTATGTTATGTATTAACCTTATAGATAGGGTTTGATTCTTTATGGAAGACTTGGGTTTGTTATTTTGCTCCATACTTGTGATTAAGCAAATAACAGCTCAATTGTATTAATCATATCTATGCTTAAAGTAAGCATGACTTCATTCTTTCTAAAGCTATTATAGGCGATTCTAATTGAGTGAAAACTGAAACTGTGAAATTCCTTTTGAGTTTTTCACTTTATGTACGACCTTGAAACTAATATCCAAAGTGAGATTTAAGACTTGCCACATTTATTTAATATTCCTAATTACTGGTATAAACTTAATGGATTGAAAAGGTGTAAATTTGCCCTCAAAAATATTACTCTAATGACTTAGTTATTAGGGTAAACCACAGATGGAAGCAGACTCTAAAGTCTGAATCAGCTCAGCACAATTAAACTATCAATCATAACCATTACAATTTCCTTAAATGTGATTGGTGCATCAGCTGCTTCAATTTTTCACTAATCATTCTGTACAGTTGTAATTGAACAGTATAATTGGACAGTTGGCTGTAATCAGACACCTGTAATCAGACAGTTGAAGCAGCCAATCATACTAGGTCCACTCAGCTAAATCCACCAATCACAGAATTGATCACAATAACCATAGCAACAACCACTTATCCAAAGAAAAACAAAGCAATTTCCAAAATGGAGGAATATTGAACTTAAGATATTGTCTCCACTGGAGATATTTGTTCTAGGTGTATTTGTTTTTTCAGAAATTGAAATGGTTATGATTAATTGGTAACAGGATTTCTTGTCGTCCAATTCTGTTTTTAATCATACTCATGATAAACAAATCGGACTCCCACTTTGCGGTTGTCTGATTTTGTTTATCACTCGTATGATTACAGACCGAATTGGACTCCACTTAGTCCTATTACCATTTTTAATCTGATCCATCTGGTTCTCACTTTTATTGATGTTATTAAAACTCCAGAATATAAACTTTATATCAAGTTTGTGGAACAGAGAATTGAAACAAGTTTGATAATCGCTCTGACGAAGGGCTAACGCTCGAAACGTCAGATTTTTACCCTTTCGGGTGGCCAATTTACGTTTTCAACTCAGTTGTTAACACTAAATTACCTACTATACTCTCCCACCGATGCAGCACCACAGTTTCTTTAGAAACTTACCCCTTTATTCATTTGATATAAAATATTGTGGTTTCTTTAAGTTTTCCACCAATAGTCACGAGTTGAAAAGTGCTTTATGGCTTACCTTGTTGGCCTTGATACTTTTTAGTAAGTACACATCAACTCTGTCTTACACAGACGTATATTTATTATTTCTCTTCAAGCCAGGAGATTGTGTTTTTTAGTGATTCCTTTTTTTTTCCTTGTCTTTTGCTTCAGGTGCCACAATTGGGGCAGTATATCGAACAGCTCATTTCACCATGCCAAGGTACGCAGCCTTTCTCTGGGGTGCTGGACAAGGTTTCCTTGGCTTTCTTGTGTCGTATTCGCGAGTTTTGGCTACCCTGTGACAAAAATAAAACACTCTTATTCACAAATAATGGTCATCCTATGACAAAATACTTACCACTATAGTGAAAGACATGGAAGAAACTAAAAAAAGTGGTATCTTTGAACGCCAGCATTTGCACATAGGTCCTTGATGGGAAATAAAAACTTAGTCGTTTTAGAGGCGTTTTTGGTTATTGTATGGTAAAAGACTGTAATATTCCTCCTTGAATGTGTAAATATGTGTAGAAATCAATAAAATCTACGGTCTCCTCAACCTCTTGTGTTAAAACTGTTTATCCCTATTTATTATACAGCCGCCAGCACCCGTGGGCAATATGAAGCGAATCCTGTGTTCTGACTGGCTATCCGTGCCCATCTTTCCCGCTTAAGATAACTCGCATTGGTACCCCGTGAAAGAAAAAGATTTCGTCGACCGGACTCACTAAATTCGTGATTTTTTGACAATGTCGGTGATACAGTCACAAAAGGCGACAGAAGACAGTCTAAACAAAGAAAACACTAAACCACTCATGGGTTTATTGTACTACAAACAGAGGATCTCGATGGGGTTAACCGTTAGCCGTAAAATGCCAAAGTAGTTGACTGTCAGTAAAATGACGAACTTTTGGCGGTCAGCACAGTAAGTGTGAGATCTTATAACACGGAAGCACTTAGCATCGTTAGCGAATAAAGCCTAGATAAAGTGTGTTTGGCCTGGGCGACCTGCTCATCAGGCTCAGAGTTATGACGAAACCAAGACCGAAGGTTGGTCGACAGAATTTTATTCCCTAGCTTTAACTGTGTTTAGATCTAAGAATTTTCATGGAAAGGTGTCTTTCTGGAGTCTGCAGCGACTGTGGACCAATTGAATTGACAGAATTGCTAAATTTCTAGAGGAATATTATACACTATGATTTGGTTAGAATTTGATTACACTTAAAAATTTTCTGCACACCGCGAGCTCTCCAGAGGCAAGTATTAAACAGAAACAGCAATGACAGGTAAAACTGTTTTTCTTCACCCTTGTATATTGTTCTTCAATGGAAAGATGACATACCAACCGTCAGCTGCCACAACTGTAAAAAGAAAGCACGAACCCTAAGCTATTCAACAGCACTTTATCAGTGGTTAGGATCTGCTACCAGTTGTACCCACGCCTCCCTCTATCCTGCTTACTTCTTGGTACTTGTTTTACTAAAACAGAATGCGAGAGGATGCGATAGACAGTCGAGCTTACTCTTCCAGGGCAACGTTCTCAATTCGCAATCTGTGAGTACCTACGCCACCGTTTTCAAAATATAGAGCACATTCAAGTCTCATATGAAACTAATATATAGATTTAGCCAAGCCTAATAATTTTCTAGATATGAATAAAACCCTTTTCCTCAAGAGAGGTTCTGTTCCAAGCTTAACACTGAAAGTTGGCATTGAGAGCGGCGAGGGGTTCTATCAGAGTGGAGAAAGGTGCATGGATAGAGGTGTATAGAGGTGGAGAGGGGTCCCGTCGCTCTGGTTCCATCGTTCCCCCGAGCAGTGTTGCTGGCCTCAGCACAAGGACGAGGCTACGACTGCCAAGCCCTCATTCAGCCCACCCTCAATTAATCCTCATCTGACCCCTTACATGAGACTGACCCTGCGATACGTCTTCGTTGTGACATGGCAAATCCTGAAAGGATAATCGGTATTCCTGTGGATGCAAGTGACCACAGTGAAAAAGCTTGTGACTGTAAGTAGTTTAAGATGAAAGTGTGGTGTAACATTTGATGTTGTTTTGACGTTCGATTTTGAACAAGAACTTTTCACTGAATTATGCATCACGCCATTGTCGCTGACCACAAAATCGTTCTTCGTGTTTTATTGTCGATGTAATTTTCTTCGAATCTGACTTCCTTGCAAACAAACATCATGATAAATTGTTTTTTGATGGTTGACCATGGCTGGGAAGTGTAGGTTTTTTCGCAGATTCTTCGTTGTACTCACTTTCCTCTTCACACATCCCAAACAGCGAAGAGCCCGTAAAATGCAAATTTAAAGCCTAAGAATCCTTTTTGTCTAATTAAGCTAAGAAAAAAGTGAATTAGTTTCGGAGAGCAAGTGACTCAAACGTTCAATTATCATTAAGAGCAGAGCTATTTTGAATTTTACACGAAAGCGCTTAACCTTTTTATGAAGAACTAGTCACCTGGAACTTGGATACGTAGAGGCACGTAGAAGTCTTGATCAAATTAATCGAAACCTATAACTCCGAAATACTGAGATACATTTAGTCTTCTTTGGATACAAATTTTCAAGTTCTTTATACACAAAAAACTTACCTGAATGTTGAATTGGTGGAACACCTGATTTGGCTCACGTATTTGTGTGTGTCACTGCATATCAATGTATATGTTAATCAAGTGTTAGGATAACAAGAAGTTGGCTGTCAAAGGATCATGTATGAAAAATTTTGTACTTATTATCAGTAATCTGTTTTGGATGCTTTTCTTGGTCAAGGCTTGAGAAGTTGTAGGAATATCTGTGAACTTTTACTTTGACATCTCTAATTGGAGTGGGCACGATTTATTTGAGATAACTTTAAGTTTTAAGTTAGTTTAAATTTTAAGAAAAGTAACAATAATTTAGTCATGGGACTGGCTCTGTCCCTTAGAATCACTCTGTTCAATGCAATTCAGTTTTTTGTCTCACATGAAAACATCAAGTGTTGACCATGCAATACAATGGGGGTTGTTACAGAAGGATGTTGTTATAATTTCCATGGTATGTAGCATTTATTTAAGAAAAGGCTCCAAAATCAAAACAAATCAGGATTAGATCAAAGGAGTTCCCAAGTTAAAGTGGAGCCAAAACTACAAGGGAACAATTTTGCTCATTTAAAAGTTTGTCTCCTTCTACCTTGCCCTTAATTTTTTCCCCCATCAAATGTTAAAAGTTTTACCCCACCACATTTGAACATTATCTTATTACCCAGTACCATAAATAGTTTTAATGCCTTATGTCTCTAAAGGAGAATTTTTTTTTTTACTTTGATCAGACATACTTCATTATTATCCACTTAATAACTGAGAGTGATGTCTTACTGGAATATCACTGAGGCCTTATTGCAGGGTCAATATGGTTATGCCAAAGTTTGGGATTTTCCCCTAATGTCCTAATGGGCTAGGTTGTTGAGTTGTTTATCACATGGCTTACCAACTAACAAAATGAAAAATTTATTCAAGCAGAAGTTGTCAATTTACATCTGGTGATATGCACCTTTACCAATTCCTTCATCACCTCAAACCCACAGTAAACTATGCAGTCAGTGAACTACACCACTGTATCACTTATTTCGCCAAGAAACATATAAATTTCATTTTCAGGAAAAATGATTCTGAGAGCCTGAAAAAAGTATTTCTATAGTGGCCTCACAACTTAATGAGAGAAATTTTGTCAGATTTTCAAGGCAAAATGTCTGGGAGATTTATGGTTAAACTGAACTTTACAAGCCTTTCCAACATCTAAAACTACATGTAGTAATCAGAAATATTGCTGCCAACAAAACCGCTTGATTGTTTACATCAGTTGTTCTTGGAAGCTGATTTAAACATAGTTGTTTAATAGCAAGTGAAACTATTTGTTTTAATTAGATATGAGTTTGAATGTATTCTTGTTTTTTTCCCTCGTCCCTTACAACACAATCTCATGAGTAATTTAAAATGAACCTTGGCAGATCCTTTACAACTTCAGCCTTTTGTATTAAATTGAGTCTACTCCCTCTGGTTGTTAATCAGCCTTCATTGTTTTCATGCACTTGAATTTCCGAAAAATGAAAAGATCCACCGCTTTAATTATCTGACACTTCGTGCTCTTTCTTGATTGCTTAATCCATAATCAGCTTGTTGTCATTACTGTTGTATAATGCTCTGCTCTGATATCAATCTTTGCCAATCAGTGCATGCATTTTATCAGCAACAAGCCTAAGCCATGTAATAATAATAAATAATTAATTTTTCATCAGGGTATTTAAAAAACATGAAGCAAGCCAATGATGTTGTTGTTATCATCCATGTGAGTGAAATGACTCATTCTGGCTCCATTGGTAAGTTAT